CCTCTCTGAATAATACTAAAATAAAGAAGTGAAACTAAAATTTGTAATCCCTTCAATTCCCGATGTACGTTACATCAAAATAACGATACTGACAGTTTCGATTATTACATCAAATGATATACATAGATGCTGAAATATTTTCAAACAGTAACAGAACAGTTGATTCAGAAGCTCTCCACTTTTGCCGTTAAAAAGTTTATTTTGTCTGCCATGGTAAATGTGATATAAGCAAGGTTCTAATTCCATGGCTAAATAATTGAAGTACTTAAAATAGGTTGGCTTTCGGTACTTTTTGTTTCTTCAATTTTTGCCAGGTTTTCGAGTAGATAGACGCTGTGCGACGGAGTGTCGGGATCTTGCTCTCCTTTCCTTCATGATGCTATCGCGTGTTGAGCCTGTTAGACGGACCCGCTAAGCGTCTGTCTCCTATCCCAACTGTGCCGAACTTTGTACATCCAGAACTGATCGGTGATTGTGAAACAGTCTGCCTGAGGACGTTTTTTCCAGTTCTGCTTACCTTGGGCAATGGGCAGTTCAAAGTCTTTATGTACCTTATACTAGTCACGGTGTCCTGTTATCTAGGTTTCTGAATACGCAGGTGCTTCAGTATAATGACGGCTGCAATGTGAATCGATAGAAATGGAATTGAAGAAAGACTGTTATTATAAAAAACGGCTTTCTGAACTCATTATTTTTGAGCCATTATAATTCAAGTCTTAAAAAACGGTAATCTAAATTAGCTTATTGTTTTCCTTGACGCCATCATATCGAGCCTCAACCAGTTAATATGTTGTCAAAATTTTGCTGTAGTGTGATTTTCTTCCTACTTTTCTGTACCTATATGTATCTGTTAGCTTGACTGATTACTGGACCATTTATTCTTAGTTCTTTATAAGGTCTGTAGGATAGTCTACACAGTTAAATTTTGATTGAGCGATTACTCAATACTGAATATGGATGTCTATTCAATTATGGTTACATTATGCATTGTGTATTCAGTATCTTTCGTAGAATCGCATTTGCTCTGTAAACGGTTCATTATTAAGCATTCTATCAATATTCACTACTCTATCAACCCTATAAATTAGCTGACTCGACTCGTTAATGAAGCCATAAATTAATGCTTTTGATTTGAATATTCTAGTAGTCCAAAATTGCTCTATCAAACTATGTAGTCTGAGTTTTCGGTTTAAAATTCCCTTCATACAGGAAATATAGCTTTAAACTAAATCTATGGTTGTATCCAGGGGAAGGCGAAGGGGGTCAGCATCTAGCTCGACAAAAATTGAATGAAGAGAACATTTTTCATAAAAATTGAATTGTTCCTAATCAGGATTCACCGTAAGCTGAAATAAAACTCTTCAAACATCCAGGTTGACTAGAAATTTCAAACAAATTTTACACATTAACATTACCACTTTTTCTTTTCTGCACGATCACATAATTAGAATTTCGTTCTGACGTCTAGGCTCTCAGTTTTTTTTAAATTATACCGATACCCTTAAATAATATAAATAAGTTTCATTTTTTTCTTGCTGTTCCTTATACGACAAGTTTAGACCAACTATATGAAGTTTACTTTTTCACGCACTTGAAGTTTTGATATTCTATGAAATTATTTACTATGTAATTTCAAGGTTTACTCAGGAGCACTGGTTTTACAACATTAATGTATGACATGCCATTGATATTTTAAATCAGGATTAAAAACTATTCGTCTATGCAAAGATGGCATACATCAGAAAAAGTTGATGACAGTGGATAAAAGATAAAAAATCATATTCATATACAAAAATCATACTACCTCGTACAGGACGAAAAACCGCAGTTGTTAATGAGCAGTTTATAAGTCCTATCTCAAGTAAATTAGGAAAAAAATAATTATTTTGGTAAAATTTGTTTCCTTTTCCGTATACATATTTCCGAAGATACTCCAAACGTCGGAACCTTTTAAATGCATTTTCTAAAATGTATAAATACGCAATTTTGCTCCCATTTAACCGACCCTCTCTTTTTTCGTTCAAGAGATCACAATGGTGAAAATATAACAAATTTGTTATTCAAATAACTCTAGAACACACTAGCTACATATCGACTTCTACATATCGTATATCACTTTTGGCTATATGCAGATGTTTCAAGTAATTGTAGTGAAACAAAGAAGAAATCGACCAAGAGAAATTATTCCAAGAATTAATATAATGTAAGTGGAATGTTAGAATATACTAAAAGATGTAGGGTGTACCATAAAAAAAATGCATGTTTCTGTTGTCGTGCCGAAATGAATCACCCTGCAAGGAACAGTATATTTTAATAATAGGAAGCGTATAGTTATCCATAATTTCCGTAAATAGCTTTTTTGATTATCTTTTATAGTAACGGAGATATTGACCAATTATGTACTCAAAACTCGCCCTGTATGTCTAATTTGTGCAGTAGTTACGTCACTGCATAAGCATTTTTGTTTTTTTTTATATTAGTCACTACAAAAGCTTTTGGCTACTATTTCATATTTACTCTTGCGCACTTTACGCCAAAAGATAAATGGTTTTTGCAATAACCAATTAACCGTTGCAGCAAACTGAACATACCTATTAGTTTGAAGGTATTTTTATACCCTACAATTATTATTCTATAGACCTATAACTTTAAACTTTAATTAAACCCTTGGCAATGTCTCAAAATATATAAAAAAAACATTCTAGTCTTTAAAATTGTGCCTCCTTTAATTTTTTATTGCGAAAAAAGGGAAGCCAAGTTTGGACGATTTATTGATTTTTTTTGTCATAGTACTGACACCATTAGACAAACCTTATCAACATACCTTCAAAATACAATTATACTTTTCAAGTTATGGAGGGCCCAATGATTAATTTTTTGCTTGAAGATTACTCTATCGCAAAAGGACCAAATATTTTCGGTCTGTAATAAAGGGCCAGGCATTATCTGACAGATGTCACAAAAGATGTACCTACTATGTTATACCCGTTCTTTTATTTAATTTTTTTTTTCGCGATTACGACACTTCCCTAGCCTTGAAAATGAGCAGTGAGCACCCTTTATGAATTTAGAGGGATATGTACGCCCAATACTTTTGAAATACATCGTTAACTCACAAATGACAAATTTTAGGCATAGGGATATAAAATTTTTATTCCTCCAAAGTTTGCGAACGACTAAATTATTAGTTAAAAAAGCATCTGGTTTACTATCTGTACGAAAGTTACAAAAAGTAATCCTAATAATTTGCCATATCCATATGAATATGGACGACTCTGTATAAATATATAAGACAATGGAATGCAAACAGAGATAAATATCAACAATAGTAGATATGTTTTGTGAAACCTCCACGAAAAAAAATTTTTGAAGCGGCCCCCTTTCAGTTTTGAGCTGGATACGCCATTGACTGAATCTGCTTTAAAGTTAGAATTAGAGTAGTGTTACTCCAAGAGTAAGCATCGGTTTCATACCTTCGTGATTTTCTAGTTCGGTTGATAGCATTGAACAACACGGCTATCATGTAAAAAAACCTAAAACACGTCAAAAAAATCGACGAAATGTCATCTTGCAGACTAGGTAGTTTTTAGTGTGCAAATAGTTCATTCCACGTTTGCTCGCTATGATCGCTGTTCGCTGATGTTAAGCAACACATACAGCTACAAAAGGAGTTCACAACAAGTGTACAACAAATTGTGATAAGTTAACATCTTTTTTTCTATTCTATTCGTCATTGTCCGTCAGAGCGGTCCGTGGGGTATTTGGGTTATTTTAAATTAATCCAAAAATTAATTTAGGAATTTGTGTGTGGCAAAAATCATAATTTTGGTTGGACGATTTGATTTTGATCACAGTGCGAGCCGCAGTTTTGTGTGCTTGCGAACTTGCCGACTGTGTAGTCTACCGACTCACCCAACAAAGGGTTGCTGTACGATTCTGCTTGACTATAACGTAACTGTGCCTGATGTTTGATGTAGTCCCTTAGGTAAGGGATGTCGCGGTCTCTGCGAAGGGTCTCGTTGGAGACATGCCATGGTGCGTTAGTGCTGGTTCGCAAGGTTCTGTTCTGCAAAACCTGCAGATTACGCATATGCGTTTTGGCAAGAAAACACGATGCTGCACATGCGTAAGTGACTGCTGGTGTGATAACCATCTTGTATAGCCGAACTTTGTTAACCTAACTTAATTTTGAGGTTATGCATAGCAAAGGGTAGAGTTGCCGAAACAAAACTTGGAATTTAGTTTTTAACGCTTCAGTGTGATTCCGCCAGGTCATCCCCCTGTCAAGAGTGACACCGAGATACTTAGTAGAATTTCCCCATGGTATGCGAGCTCCATTCACTGAAACCTCAGGCGGGACGCAGCTACGTTTTTTAGTACAATAGATAGCCTGTGTTTTCAAGTAATTAATTTTGATTAGCCACCGATCTGCCTATTTAAATACCTCATCCATCGCACTTTGTGACCTGTCGTGAACCAGATTCCCGGTACGAGACTGGGCCAGGATTGATCCGAGAACCGAACCCTGAGGGACGCTGGCTCTGATGGGCCGTACTGTCGACAAGAAATATTTTGATCCGAAATTTCTTACCTTCAAGGAAGGATTTCAAAATGGAAAATCCTTTTGAATTAGTTTATAGAGAAGGCCCTTGTGCCCCTGGTTACTCGTTCCACAACCCTAACCGCCTGTAACTCCGTACTATGCTCAGACCAAGTTAACATCTTGTAGAAAGACCTTCGAAATGTCAAAAAAACCTACGAGATGTAAAACATCTGACGAAATGTCACTTTTCAATATACGTAGTGCCCGTGCCGGACTTTTGTAGGTCTGACAGGCGTTGACTTAAGAACTCAAAAATAAGTTTGCTATGCTTGAAACTATCTGTTGATTGTCTTCATTAACAAATAATAGGTATTGCGTCGGATTTCCCGTAATTTGTAGGATAGCGAAAATGATAGTGATTTCTCTAGTCTCTAGTCGGTATTAAAATAGTGTTTACCTGTGGACTTTCGAATATCGCCCTAACCCTCTTTTCATCACTGTTAATTTTCCCGAAAACGTTATTCACCCACTGTTCACCCGCGCTTTTCAATACTAAACGGACGAAGCTCATGAAAAAACCATTTTCATTCGTTTGTAAAGTCTTTTCGCTGCAGATTGCTGCATATGATTTATCTTCAAAGTTCATTTTCTTCCAGACGAAACTATAATTTTAAAAAACATAGGCCTAGAATATCTCATTCTGTGAGCTCTGAAGCCGGTAGTAGCTCGAGCGATAATTTTAGAAAGATTATTTTTGACTAGCTCTAATTGTAATAATTACGGGGGGGTTTTGAAGATTAAAACAGTTGCGTTTTATTCACAAAAATATGTAAGCAAGCAAAGCTTCATACTAAAGCGGCGACGTCTATACCTAAATACCTGATTACTACTATAACAGAGTCAACAAGTTTTTGGATAGTAATTTTAATTAGATATTAATAGGAATGCTACCGGTTTCTATCAGATACTTGACAAATTCGATTAGTTGGCTCAGAAATCAGCGAAATCAGGACAACCCGAAGGTATTACGTCTTCCAGTATATCTGTTGAAGAGGGCAGTCATGAGAAAGCAACTTGAGTTTGTTTATGTGCACCACAGGAAACTGCTCAAGTCCCTGCCCCCAAAACTTTTTGAAGAGCGGAGTAGCAAATTTTCTTAGAGGTGCCAAATCATTAAATCCTCAAAATTGTACACAAAATCATGCTAAATAAATAAATTTTTAGGTTCATCCAATTTTCAGCCACGCCCTCCCCCATGACACTGGCGCTCCCACGGGGTGGGGGTAAAGGGGGTAATTACCCCCCCCCCCCAGACGACTCGAGCAGTTTTTGAAAAGGTGGTATAAAGTGAACGTCTTATAAAAAAATCTGTAACTTTAAGAAAGGATAGCGGCAACAATGCCAGCCCGCTCGGTGCGCATGCGACTAGCGACTACTCTCCCACCAATAGCAACGGTGTGCGCTTTTTCCTGTTGGAACAGGTATAGTCTAGTCTTTTATGGTCTAGTCTAGTGTCTAAATTCAGTACCAGTCCGGAGTCCGCAACAAAATTTGGCTGAGAAGTGAACAAGCGGAGTTTTGTTGATCTGGTTGGTATCTATTAACTGCATTTTCTATCTTCTATCGATTTTTTATATTCCACGGATAAGCAAGAAAATTAATTTTTGTTTGTTTTTAATTTTTATGCTATAAAAGAATCGTGTCTAAAAAAATGACAGTCGGAAAAATGGAAATTTAATATAATTTCAATTACGAAGTGTTTGGACCATACTCCAGCTATCATTATCGTCTATGTCTATTTTGTCTCTGAAGTCCTTGTATATAAGCACTTCCGTGCATTTCGTTCGTCGGAGATGGCAAATCATATATTTAGTTTTTGAAAATTGCGTGAACTTGAGAAATCTTGTTTTCCAAACAGAAACGGTTCTTTGTTATGAGATACGTGATTGCGTGGAAACCATGCAATAATGTCGTTTATTTGACAATATTTGTGTAACTTTTAGTGCTGGTTGACGGCTGCTGTTGTCAGGATGAGTAAAAGGAAAGAGAATACCATCGATTGGTTCTTTTCTAAACAAAACAAACTGTCTGACCCACCGACACAAGAATTACCGGAAAAAACTGACGATAATCCTACAATTCAATTTGAGCCTTCCACTTCAAAATTTCTTGGTGTTGCACCTTATGCTGAACCAACTGTTGAACAATCGGGTGCGAATTTTGTTGATGTTGCGCCATATGTAAATTTCAGCGGCAACTTGTCTTCACATGAAAAATATACCTTATTGAGGTGTGCAATGATCCCTAATGACTCTTTCAAATATCCCTATTCCACACAGTAGAAAATAATAAAGAAGTGAAATATTACTTATTAGAAAAACACTTTCCTTGGATGTCATATTCAGAGGAACTACAAGGGCTTTTCTGTAAACATTGCGTGGTTTTTGCAAAATTAGGAGGAGTACACAAATCAACTAAACTGGGAAAACTTGTTACTGTATCAATAAAGAAATTTTCGAAATTGTATGGCATAATCGGTGATTGTGAGACACATGAGAACTCAATATATCATACAGAAGCAGTTTCAGATGCTACAAACTCTTTAAAGATTTACGAAAATCCAGATAATGATATAAGAAATATAATAGGTTCCGAGCGAATTAAGTATCAGAAAATCGGCAAAGATTGACTCTTATAATAGAATCTATAATTTTTTAGGACGCCAAAATATACCACTTAGAGGGTATAGAGACAGGGGACGACTTTTTTCTGATGACAGCACGAATGACGAGGATGTCCTTAATAATGAAGGGAATTTTAGAGAACTAATGCGGTTTAGAGTCGAGAGTGGCGACAATTTATTGAAAAAAGCTTAGAGAACTCAAAAGCGCATGCTACGTACATAAACAGACGCATCCAAAATGAAATTATAGAATATTGTGGCGAAGAAATCTTGGATATAGTTTTAAGTCGCGTCAGGCAAAGTCAGTATTACAGTATTATATTTGACGAAAACTACAGACATTAGCCATAAATCACAAATTTCAATCGTATTGCGGTATTGTTATCAAAAACATATTTACGAGGACTTCATGAGAATTTTGGTTCGCTACTCAAATTTTGATGAAGATACAATACACAGGTCAAACTCTTGCTCAAACAGTCAAGCATTTCATTAAAACCAATAACTTAGACTCAAAACTATCTGTGGGCATTGGTACTGATACGTGTAACCTAATGTTAGGTGAACAAAAGGGCACTGTAATGGAATTGCAAAAATGTTTTCCAAATGCTCTAAAAAGCCCATGCGCAAATCATGCCTTGAATCTTTCGATTTCAAAAATCAGCAGTGACCAAGCTGTTAGAAATACTGTAGGTATAATGAAGAAAGTAATTGCGTTCTTGAAAGCATCCGCTAAAAGAAATACAGTATTGAAAATAAAACTAGACGGATATCAAATTCATAGTATGTGCGAAACACGATGGACCGAGAAACTGCTCCAATTTGAAAGCGAATTCGAGAAAATTGTAGAGGTACTAAATATTATATCAAATTGGAAAGTCCGCGAAGCTTCTTCAAAAGCGGAGTCTTTTTATTTTATATATACAGGGTGACTTTGAAGTTGAGTCATTAATTTTCAGATAATGATTGTAGGAGGAAGATAAACCAAAATATGTGTGTAAAAATAAAAAAAAATGTTTACCTTGTTTTATAAAGTATCCTCCCGACAAGTATTTCAGTGCGGACCTGTATTTGATCGTGAGGTCCCCTGTGAGGTCTTAAGTCACCTGATTCACGAGCCCGTTGTACTACATTAACAAAGGCACGAGGGGTTGGTTGCACTCGATTGGGAAACCCATCCGCATAAACATGTGCCATTTTTTATTTCGTTTGAGCCACGTAACAGATATCACTATTCACTGATACTGACTGTATACAAATGAATGAAACAATGTAAAAACATCGTTCCAAATTCTTTCGCTTTTTTGTTTCCGATGCGATGAACCGATACGGCGGATTACGGTACGAACATAGTGGAGCGACGAGGTTTCAGATTCAGATATCTGGTAGCGTCTAGAGCGTAGAGGCAAGAGGCACCTATGGTTATAGTAGAGCGTCGCGTTTTGTCGAAGATAGACGTAAAAATATGTATTCCGACAGTGACGATGACATTCTTCTCAATAATACTTACCTGCAAGTGCTTTTAATGACTGGAGTGCGGCAGTGTAGTGTGCACGACGTAAATAAAAGTCGGAAACGCCTAGGGGAATTCCATCATTTATTTCTAGAACTGAAAAATTATCCCGACAGGCTATTTGACTACATTCGAATGGAACTTGCCACCTTTCAGTATATATTAGAACAAGTTACACCCTGCATCAACAAGAAATGGACAAATTTTAATCAAGCGCCTATAGGAACCGAAGAAATGTTGGTGGTAACAATTCGGTAAGAGAATATTATGTATTAAGGATAATACTTTTATTATTCATAAACAAACAAACGGTAACGCAAAATAATATTCTGTCTTCTGAACACAACGAACGATAACTTATAATAACTTATAATGTTTACTGATCTGCGTAATTAAACCCCTGCAACAAATGGGATGAATGTGCAAACGATGTTTGTGGTTGAGATGTATATGTCGGGCTATGATTAACAGAATGACTGACATTGATGGTGGACTGATTGTTCGAGTACTCTTCATAGGCATACTTCTGAACCAAATTTTGAATTTCATTGCGGAACTGAAGTTTTCGATGAGGCCTAATTTTCACCACGTGGGGCAAAAGGCTATCAAAAAACAGTTTATCGTCATCTGTGACTGGTAGGGCTCTGCCACGGTCTGCAGCGACACGTTTCTCATCTAAATATTGTAGTTTTTTCTTCTCTATCTCAAGAAAAGCGTCAAGTTGATTTGACCGTTTTCGGGCCCTATTCTTTAGAATAGTTCGTGGTTCTTTTGGTGTGCTTTGAATTGGAGTGACTGATTCTGTGTGGTCGGGTTCTGTTTCCTGCGTTTCTACACCCTGCGTTTCGTCCATTTCGTCTTCGTCATAGTCACCATCATTTTCATCCATCTGCGTAGAGGGTGTCGAAACTTGTGTGTCATTGTCGGGATCCAACAGGTTGCTATGACTGGATCTCGGCAGAAACTGGTCTCTCAGAAACAATAAACTTTTGAAATGAGGCCAGGAGCTCTTTTTAAGAGCCTCTTCGCCTGGATCACCAGACCGGGGCAGAGGTATTTTCTTCAGTTCTTTTCTGAAATAATCACGTAGATTTTTCCACTTCTCAGAAACTTTCTTAACTGCAACAAACAAAAATTTTCAGATATCTTGCAACAGGAGCGTCCTTTAGACACTTGGCATTTTCCTTTCGAATGGGCAGGAGTACTGTTGCGAGCATTATAAAACATATGATTAAAATATTATGGAACATGCTGCAACCACTTCACATGCCAGAACCTACTACGGCAACATTTTTAAATGTAAGTGCAGACTTCATGAAAGTATGGAACTTCCCCAATTGCATCGGAGCTGTTGACGGCAAACACGTCAAAGTTATAGCACCACAACATTCCGGATCCATGTACTTCAATTATAAGCATTATTTTTCTATCGTCCTACAAGGAGTTTGCGACGCAAATTACAAATTGCTTGTGATAGATGTCGGAGGTTACGGCAAACAGAGCGATGGGGGAACGTTTCAGAGTTCCAATTTGTACAAACGGATACACCAAAACAAACTAAATGTGCCAAATCCAGATAGTTTACCAGGAACAAATGTCCGCGCTCCCTACGTATTTATTGCAGATGAAGCGTATCCACTAATGCCCAATTTGCTAAAACCATACAATCGAAGGAACCGCTCTTTGGAACATATAAATTTTAACCAAAGATTGTCCAGAGCACGCAAAACTATCGAGTGCACCTTTGGAATTATGTACGCGAAGTGGCGTCTTCTGTCCAAAGCTATAGAGACTACTGAAAAGACTGCGGATGATATCATTAAGGCGATATGCATTTTGCATAATACAATACTGGACCGAGAGGGATTTCAACGACATTTAACATTAGTAACTGATGCAGTTCCTAGAGATCAGATGTTTGAATTACCTAGAGGAAGGCAACTGGGTGAAGGTCAAAGAGTTCGCGACATTTTCTGTAACTATGTTAATTTCTTTCCAATCAGTTACAAGACAGCTTAAAATTTTACCGCAAGATGTAAGTTCTAGCTGTTGAAATGTGTATAAAATACAATTATTTACTTACCCGACTGATTATTGCATTCATTGGCTACCTCCTCCCATAACTTATCTAGCACGTATCGGTTGCGATGATCTGGATGACTCTGATCCCATATAGCCCTTCTGTGATATACACTATTTATTAATTGCACAACATCCATTATTAAATCGCTTGAAAACGCGTGACAAAAATTGAATGCAACTATTTAAAACTCGTCGCTCGAAACCTCCTAGAGACTCGACGCATGCCTTATCGCGCTACTATGGCCCGACAGGTTTCAACCTGTGTTTTTGACTCACATAGCGGCAAACCGCGCGGTTAGCCTCTATCTGAATCTGAAACCTCGTCGCTCCACTATGTTCGTACCCTTATATCCGTTGTCGCCAAACACGAGCACATTGAGACAGGGCGGTACTCAAACTTCCAAAGGGCTATAACTTTGTTACTTTAATTTTACCAGAAGAATGGTAAAGGAAAAAAACATTTCTTTTGATCAGATCTACTCACTGTTAAAATAAATGACTCAACTTCGAAGTCACCCTGTATATAGGGTGACTTTGAAGTTGAGTCATTAATTTTCAGATAATGATTGTAGAAGGAAGATAAACCAAAATATGTGTATAAAAATAAAAAAAATATAAAAAAAAATGTTTACCTTGTTTTATAAAGTATCCTCCCGACAAGTATTTCAGTGCGGACCTGTATTTGATCGTGAGGTCCCCTGTGAGGTCTGAAGTCACCTGATTCACGAGCCCGTTGTACTACATTAACAAAGGCACGAGGGGTTGGTTGCACTCGATTGGGAAACCGATCCGCATAAACATGTGCCATTTTTTATTTCGTTTGAGCCACGCAACAGACACTATTCACACGCGACTGTATGTACGAGTATAACTGAACTGAATAAAATAAACATCGTTCCAAATTCTTTCGCTTTTTTGTTTCCGATGCGATGAACCGATAAGGTGGATTATATCCGTTGTTGCCAAACACGAGTACATGATATTAATGAGACAGGGCGGTACTCAAACTTCCAAAGGGCTATAACTTTGTTAGTTTAATTTTACCAGAAAAATGGTAAAGGAAAAAAACATTTCTTTTGATCAGATCTACTCACTGTTAAAATAAATGACTCAACTTCGAAGTCACCCTACCCTGTATATATATATTTTATTTTACAAACAATACGCTGTCAAACTCATAGCAAATATTATTTCAGTTGTGCAAGAAAGACGCGCAAATTCGGAAAAACACTTTAGAATACCATTCGCATCTATAATGAAATCATATGAAACCCTGGGTATTGAACTGACTGTGCCAAGAATAACAAGCAGGCAAATGAACAGACCGAACATAGTTACGTCTGATAAGGAAAATCATTACAGACTGAACCTATATGTCCCTTTGCTAGATAATATATTACAAGGTTCGGTCTATACCGGTTCAATGAAGAGACTTTGAATATATACAATTTTAATATTTTCTTTGAGTCAGTATTCAATTCAAAAGCTGCTCTAATGGACATATTAGACGCAACCTCTAAATATTTGCATGGACTAAATAGTAACGAAAACAAAAATTTAATAAGTACCAGATTAAAAGCAGAATTTGACCTTTGGAAGTCCAGTACGCCAGATATTATAGACAGTGGAATGTCACTGTATTTATCATGTGATGAAAACATTTTTCCTTCAATTAATAGATGCCTACAATTATTGATTTCATTGTCGGTAAGCGTTGCGACATCTGAAAAGTTTCTCGCATCTAAAGAGGATAAAAACTTGGCAACGCTCCACTATATTACAAGAGCGATTAGTGGGTTTAGCTCTTTTGTATATGCATAGAGATATTAAAATAGACGTGAATACAATCATAGATCGGTTCGCCAGCAAAAAGAATAGGCGCCTTGATTTTGTAATATGATAACACCTGAACTTCGCCTAAGGTTGTTTCTTAAATCCATCTCCCTTCTTTTGGCCAATAAATAAAAAAGCAGATGTAGTTAAGGGCTTACTTACGTTTAAACCACCACGGTGATCTTTTCGAAAGTATCCAATCAAGAATGTGGCTTTATTTATTGGACAGCAGATTGATATAAAAGTCTGTTCAAATCACTTTCTAAGCTAATGTAATGATTGTTTTATTTTGAGACTGTGAACTGATGTAGTTTCATAGTTTATATGTTTTTGTTTTTTGAGACTGGCTAAGAGAATGTAGTTATGCAATGAATATTTTTTGTGTTTTTCTCATGATTAAGTATTTTATTTTGATTTACATTCAATTTTATACTTTATAGAATTCGTGACATATTTGTTATTATTTTTTTCATGAAGATGTATTTTTTTTTGTTTTTCCTGACATTGTTATGTAGAAAAGTCTGTAATAGATTATATTATTTGCATTTTTGTTTTAATATATGAAGATTGCTCGAGCTTGGTTTGCTTTATTTACACTTTGATTTCGTACGATTCAAAATTAAAAAAAATGTACGTATTTTATATGTCCATGCTTTTAATGTTAAATTATTATAACACTTCAGTACGTCACTCTGAGGATTTACTTTCCATTTTACCCCTCCCAGACTGAAATCCTGAGAGCGCCACTGCTCCCTGGCACCTCCCCCCCGCGGGCACCATGGCTCTGTTTGTTAGGGAAGAGATGTTCTTTTCACTGAGCCACATCAACATATGGATAGTATATGATAACCGACTATTCGCTAGATACAAGAGCTTTACTTTATCATATGGACTTTGTATAGAATTGTATGGTGTATAAGTAAAAATATATCAGTTCTTGACATTTTATTGTAAACAATGTACAGCGTATGTATAAAATACATAATCTAGAACTAGTTAAACCTAGATTTATTATTCATACAAAAAACTTTGTCAGTCCAATGTGTTTATTGATTTGTCCAACATAAAAAATAATCTCAAATATAATGTGATGACTGTAACTTTAATTGGCATATATTTTTATAATTATTGTTTCAGACATATACATAAAACTGAGATCATAGCGACAGATGTAGGCAACTTACTAAGACGCATTTTCTACTGTTGGTGAAGATATAGTAAGGATATAATAAGGTACGTAAAAACTATAAATTTGGGAATGATGCTTGATAAACACATATGAGAACAATCGCTTTGAATTTTATTACACTCCCTTGATTTAGTGACCCTGTTTGAGCCATATGGCTTTGATCTTATTCATCCATCACATAATCCATATGAAAAAGGCTAACAAAATAACAAATAGAAGTAAGAAAGATAGATTCGTGAAAATGAGGAAGCAGAATACTGCAGTGCTAAGCACAGAGGGGGGTATCGGCACCATTCATGAAATCGAGAAAGAGGCGTCCAAAGTTTGAACCTCTGATTCATTTGTACAGATAACGCTAACAAAAAATGAGGAGTCTAAAGGCCGTATCGTCAGTCATTCCTACAATTGGACGGCTTCTTGCAGAAAGGAACCAACCCACTAAATATAAAAAATCTATATTTTAGGAAAATAGTCTATTACGAGCATATAAATATAAATTGTTTAGTGTTATAACATATACACATATTTGAAGCCCTCAGTATGCCATTAATTAAAATCATTTTTGGTCTAAAATAAATTTTTTATCATTTTCAAAACCTTAATAATAATAATCGTTTTTCTGGGTGGGTTCCTTTCTACAAAAAGCCGTCCAATTGTAGGACGCCTTTATGGCCCACTTCATTTTCATACTCTTTCCTCTGCTTCAGAAAGGCTGGGATATTTCTAGATTCCTACGGTTCCGTGTCAGCGTTAGCACTCTCCTATTGTCAGGCTATGTTTTCTTCTTGAATTGTAGGAAATGTCAGGTGGATATAAATCAAAAGCATGAACAAGTTGATGCAAATAGATATTTGTAACATAATATCTCAAAATAGAGCACTGACACGGAAGAGTAGAAAACTATGAAAACCAATGAGGCCATAAAGGCGTCCTACAATTGTAGGAACGACTAACGGTACAGCCCTAAGAAAACTATTGCATGATATCTCCTAATCACTTTACGAATAAGTAGAAAAAATGACAATGATTTATCAGGTACCAATAACCAACTATGCCCGAAAGTTGCAGATACCCCTTCTGAGCTTAGCACGGCAGAATATAGAAACGTTTCATGATTAAGTTTGTGACTGTATTTGCTACAGATAAATAAATAATGTTCTTATAGGTTTTTCATTCAATTAAATGTTTTATAGACGTCAATTTTATGCGCCTGTTATGTTTGAATGCCTGAGACATTAAAAATACGTTTTTAAGACAACTTTAGTATGCCGTTTTAGCAGATTCCAAAGGCTGGCATAAATGTAATAGAACGCTTTCTCCTAGTTTTCCTACCCGTGTTCTCCTCCCTCGGTTTCACGAATTGACCCCCTCGAGAGATTCGAGACGCTAAATATAGAAAATTGCTTATGTTTCTGGATCTCAAAAATATTGTATTTTTGTGAATTTTTAAAATGGATCTAGGAAATATAAAGCTGATCGGTTTATGACATACCTTTTTGTTTCGGAGATATAGGCCTCCAGAACACCGCTGAAAATCGGTTTTTCTTAAACAACCTTCGCTATTTTAAAAATACAATAATTGTGATAAAACACTCGAGATCAGCGAATCCGAAAAATTCCCAGATATTAGTGTTTAGATCTCCGTATCAAGTTCTGGGCTTTTGTCTAATTTTTTGGTGATTGGCTCAATTCTTAATTTTCTCGAAGTCGCTTCATTTTATCGAAATCAGACGTTGATACATTTTTTTTTTTAGATGAAGGATCCAGCTTTCTAAAAATATTACTTTTGAATCATTATTACACAGGGTGTAAAAAATAGCAATACTGAATTAGAGCTAGTCACTCCCTAGCAAACTATATGTGTTAACTATTTTCCATGAACATCATCATGTGAGACCTGAACTGGTTACTAACCTGTCAAATTCATTGGTTTACTGGATATTGCCCAAAAGGTAATAAAAACCGGTTTCTCCAGTGGTGGTCATTAAGAGTCTATATCTCAGAAACAAAGTGGTATTTCGAAAATCGTCAAAAATAGTCTTAGAATAATCCAAAGAATCACCCCTTGAATGTTTGCCTTATGTTTTAGGAACACCATATCCAGCTTTGTTTAGAGCCGGAGCCTTTGGGGAGTAACTGTGTAACGCAGAGGAATGTGGTGCCTTTTTTGAGGATTATGATAGAAACACTTTGAAGTAAGGCCTCAAGCTTCAAATACCACTTTGTCCTGGGACCTCTTCGTAGCTTAGTTCCTTGTATCGTCCCTTTCACTGTTTCTATGATATTCTTGTTATCACGCAATAATTTCTTTTTCTTTCTTCTGCTCTGCGTCTGACTTGAGAGGTTGCATTTCTTTCCCGTCTTCCACTGTCCCTTGAACAGAGTTGAACTTTTGCAGTTTTCCCGTGCCAAAGATAGAGTAGAATATAGCTCCAAAGACGTAAGTGCCACATAGGATCCAGAAGACATATTTCCAGGAGTCGAATGTCTTGTTTCCCTCTGTGAGGACTGCCACAATTTTGGTGGATAACCAGCCTCCGAAGGATGACAGGGTATTAGCCATCCCGAAAATTGTACCTGAATACAATACAAAAATAGTCATACATGTATTTCTCCATGCGGATTACGACTTAAAAGACCTGTAGATGGATGTTTATTTACGCAATTATGCACAGAAAGCTGCTAAATGGGTCAACCGTTTTGGTGGCAGAAGGTCGAACGAAGGCCAGTGATGTTCTGTGTTCTGTCATGTTTGCGATTGGGGCGATAAAAAGTACCTTGGTAAAGACTATTTTGAGTCCGTCTGTCTCTAGGTCTACTAGATCTATACTGTACTGATGAGTTGCTAATTAATACGAACCAGGGTTGTATCCGGTTGGTCATGGTTAGATAGACATAAGGCAAACATGCTCATCTGAACCGTCCGTAGCTGAGGGTTTTATCAGAGGTGTTTCAGGACACTGTGTGGAGAACAAGAATACAGATATGCGCATCTCCAGCAAAGAGCAGTGAAGAAAAATGGAATCTGAAAAGAATCGAGATTTTGGTTCGCGCTTTTTGAAAAGTAGTGATTCCAGAGCGAAATCGAAAAAACATTTAAAGCAGCCAAATATCACGGATGCATTATTTTATAGCTTTACAGGGAGTAAATCAACTGTCTTCTTAATTTATTTTTTTTTTCAAGATCGGTTTATACGCTAATTTACACCTATAACTGTCCGGGGGTTGCGTGGAAGAGCAACCTTCAACTAAAAATCGCATATACTATGTCTCGTACATAGGCCAGAAGCTCTGGAGTTCTCCCTCGAAATTGTCGGTTAAAATCCGCCATTTTGTTTTTAAAAAATCTTAATATAGCCAATGTCACTCGCACTCAAGATACATCTAGAGACACCTCATATGTCAAAATCCATAAAGTCGTTTAATCTGTAGCCTGTGAAATAAGAATTTCACGGTTGATTTTTTTATTAGAATCCGCCATTTTGTTTTTATAATAGTTTAATATAACCAGTGCCACTCGCACTGTTAAGACGGAACCAACAGCACCTCATAGGTAAACATCCATCAAGCCGTTTAAGCTGTAGCCCGTGAAATAATAATAATACATATGAACTCATACTAGGTAGAAGGATGAAATCTAGGATTGTTTTGCCTTCTAATTCTCATAGTCCTGTAGTGAGGATCAAAGTGCGTCTGACAATAACTCAATTTTATGACAGTTCTGTCATTAGATTCGAATATTCAGTGTAATTTTTTAAAAGTGTGGATGTTTGCAGATAATCGTGGTGTTAGACGATTTCAAGACATGGTACCTTCTTACATAATAATTTGCCAAGAGCCTAATGAAGGTAGATGTTTCCACCAGTAAGTATTATTGTTATGTTAATACAACGCTGTCACTTTAGTAGGCATTGGAAGACAAATGAGTCAAAAATATGCACTAAAGCTAGACAATTTTTTTGACAAACAATGCAATGTAAACATACAGGCTTGGCTCCATCTAATCTACTCAAATTCGTTGATTTAGACGAATTCAGCTACACGTCATGTGTCAAAATACATCAAGCCGTTCGGCCTGGAGACCGTGAAATAGAATTGTTTGGATACATCGATATAATAATAATAATAATAATAAACGTCTTTATTTCCAAATGGACTGATTATATAAAAGAATAGCAAAATACGGGCGAAGTTCAGCTGTCGCTGCTCTTCCACTTAACCCGCTATAAAAAAAGTCCGTACAAAAGGTGGGTGAGACCTACTTATTCTACACATTACAAATATTAAATGTATATGCATTGCCTACATTAATACATCTACTAAAATTAATCATAAACTTGTATCAATATTTTCCTGAGACATGGTTACTACTGCTGGGATAAGAGATATTTTTTTAATTGAGTTTTGAAACTTGAGATGCTCAGAGTTTTATATTGTACCGGAAGGGTGTTATAAACGGAACAAATTTGGTAGCTGAACGATCGTTCAAATTGGGCTGTTCGGAATATCGGCGGTGTCAGCAACCCCCTGGATCTTATATTGATGTTATGCACATCTGTTCGAAATGTAACTTTTTCAAATAAGTAAGTGGGGGTCTTATACATAATTATTTTATGATATAATGTTGCGGCATGCAAAAATCTTCTTGTTTCCATGTTCAACCAATTCGCATCTTTCAACTTATGGGATATTCGGTCTCGTCTTCTGATGCCATATATTAATCTGAGGCAAGAATTCTGCGCAACCTGAATTTTTTGTTTGTAAGTGGCAGTTAAGCATGGGCCATAGAACATATCAGAAAAATTGAAGTGCGAGAGCACCAACGACTCACATACATATAGATTTATTTTGACTTTAACGGGAAGGTTACGTCTGTTGCCGTACAATATTTTTAAAGAGGAATATGCCTTACGAATGAGCGAATTTACATGTTTTTCAAATCTTAAATTTACATCCAATGTTACACCCAAGTTCCTTGCTTCACTGACAGTTTCAAGTTGTTGTGCATTGATGGTAAAGTTAATTGAGTTAGTAACAGCCTGGCGCGCATGCTTTGGCCCAAATACAATTACTTTAGATTTGCTAGAGTTAAGATGCAAATAATGTTCTTCGGCATTCTTTGTCAATAATGATAAATCTCTGTTGATGGTTGCACTCACAGTGTCCACATCACTGGGTAGAAAAGTATGATACAGCTGAGTGTCATCAGCATAGCAGTGCATTTTGCAAGTATTTAAGCCTTTGCCGAGGTACGAAGTATAAATTGCAAAAAGGAGCGGACCCATAATAGAGCCTTGCGGCACGCCTGATTTTAAGGCTAATACGTCAGAATAACTTCCCTCCAAGAAAACCTTTTGCTTTCTGCTCTTTAGATACTTACTGAAAAAGTTGACACTATCCGAATCGAGGCCTATAAAATGCAATATATTTAGGAGTAAATTAAAATTGATCGTATCGAAAGCTCGACTAAAATCCAACATTATCAAAACTGTACACCTTCCCTGATCAGTGGCTCTGATAATGTCATCTGTTACATGTAGAAGTGCAGTTGTACAGCTAAAATTCTTTCTAAAACCAGATTGAATTGGAGAAAGCAAAGAAAACTTTGATAGATGTTCCATCAATTGCTTCTCAACCGCTTTTTCTAATAATTTTGACAATGCTGGTAAAATGCTTATTCCTCTGAGGTGATTAAAATCTGAAGGATTTAGCTTTTTGGGAATTACTTTTACAACTGCACTCCCCCATGCTTCTGGAAAAACATTTTGAATCAAACAACAATTTATTATATGCCTGATATAAGGAATAACATGTGGACAGCAAAGTTTTATTAGAAAGATACTCAAGCCATCACAGCCTGCAGCATTTGTTTTAATACCAGAGATAGCTTGATATATGAATATTTCATCAATTTCTTTAAATTTGAATTTGGAGTTTGTCAGACAGTTATTTTTGTAAAAATTTATTAAGGAATCTGGAGGTTCACTTGGGGAGATGGAATTTATAAAAAAATCATTCAGAAGATTCACATCCATTAGGTTAGGGGGCAATGAGTTACTAAAGTTATTTTTTAGCATCTTGTTTTGTTTTAATATCCTCCACATTTGCTGGGAGCTGCTATGCAAGAACTTATGGAAGAAATACACTCTTTTCTCTCTTCCAATAGCGCTAGTGACATAATTCTTTAAATCTTTATAATACTGTAAGTGCGCATGAGTACCTGATCGTTTATAACTTTTAAGTGCTTCATCACGGAGCTGCTGCATTTGTTTGATCGTATCAGTCATCCATGGCGCCCTACCTTTTGTAACGCGTTTTCTAACTAAAGGGGCATGTCTGTCGAATAATTCAACTAAGCAGTTAGTGAAAAAGGCTATTTTCGTATCAATGCTGTCTTGGTCGAACATTTGGAAAAAAGATATACCACGGAGATCATTCAGAAAATGTTCCTCATTGAAAAACTGGAAACTTCTATATGTGATAAATTTTTCTTTTGAATGTGGATTACCAACTGACATTTTACAAAAAACCAAAAAGTGATCTGATACCTGGCCAACATCAATTATTCCTTTGTCTAAAACAAGTTCCTCCCGTAATAAGATAAGATCCAAGAGCGTTGCTGAAACACCCGATATTCGCGTTGGTCCTTCAATAATTTGTGTTAGCTCGAATACCTCTAAAACAGAATAAAAGTTATTAACAGCACTATTCAAGTCCAACAAATTTATATTAAAATCTCCAGCTATTATAACATCATCCACAGTAGGATATATCAAACTCAAAGCTGTCTCAAATTCGTTCAAAAAGTTATTTATTTCGACATATGGAGGCTTATAAACAACGCCAATCGCAAAACGTTTATTATTCAACTTAACAGTAATCCACAATTGCTCGCTAAACAACTTTTCTTCAATTTGCATCAATTCACTATTAATGGTATGCTTTACATATATGAGTAATCCACCACCCCTAGTATGTCGATCAATTCTGTATAAACTAAAATTATGAATGTGCACCGCATCATCATCAATTCCAGCATGTAACCAAGTCTCACAAATTAAAAAAATATCAAAAGAGTGCTCAGTGATTAGAGATCGAACATTAGATATAGATGGTAACAACGATCGAACGTTTAAGCTACCTATGTTTATATGTTGCATGGTTATCGAAAAGAAGCCAACCAGTTATAGCGCCTACTCAAAATAAGATAGATACAAGATAGTAGATAAAAAAATAATATATATATATATATACACATATACACATATATGTAGGTTAATAGAATTAAATGAATGTTGTAATCTGCAAAAAGTTGTTGGTCTCACAAAAAATTAGTACGAAAGAAAGTAAGAGAGAAAAAAAAAAGGAATCCACGTGAAAGTGGGAGCTCAATTGCACGAGTGTTGTGCTGCAGATTAAAATGGATATATAATCATCTTAATGAGAAAAAGATAAACTGTTAGCAATACATAAATGAGAGTAACTAGAACTATTCCTACTTGCTCAGAATCAAAATAGAGGATGACGTCATGACGCCGTATTGATTCATAAGAAACTTCACTTCGATACACTTAAAAATTGAAATAAGGAGAACACATAAACGAGAAGAAATGTCGAGTGATCAAAATAATTGGGAAACAAATTATTAGGTATAAACAAAAAAGTGGATATACTTAATATATTCAGGCCACAAAATAGTGTTTTTATTATGGGACTGTCATCCTCTATTCATCACTGTAAAAAACTTAAAAATCATGAATAAAAAATCAATAATAGCGACAGAATCAGGCAGAACGTAGCCTTCAAGAATAAAAAAAATCTAATCTAGTACAAACTTTCTTTTGCAAAAAAAAAAAAAAAACGTTGCATTATCATCTCAATATGAATGAACAAAACGGACCTCACAATTTTGCAATATCACTAGGCTTCTCTATCTTCACAGTTCTGCCTTCTCCATCATATTTGCAGAATATTGTGCCGTTTGTCGTCCAGACTCTACCATTTCTTCCCATTTTCGTGATAGCATCCTTCAGTAGCTTCAATTTATATTGAGTCAAGTCCTCCCGGATGACCATTCCAGATGATTTTAAGAGCTTTTTATTATCATAGGCGAGCTGTTTATAATACATTGAACTAAATTTAAGTACTATCGGCCTTTTCTTATCTCGTTCATATTGCCCTATTCTAAAGCAGCATTCAATTGCTGGTCGTTCTACATTTATTTTCATTTTATCCCTGAGGATTAGGACGATCCTATGCAGACAATCTTCACTGGGGTCCTCAGAAACACCATATATGCGCAAAGTCTTACGCTTGCAATACTGCTCTTGCTTATCTTGATTTGAGATTATTTTCTCAATCGCCTCTCCGTGAGTTTTGAGCTGTGAGGCAACTTCTTTGTTTCGTTGCTTTAAAGAATCAATATCCTTTTTCACTTGTTCACTTATTACCTTCGTGATTGAGGTAGCAATCTGAACAATAAAATCTTCAGATGAGCAAATCTTCGAGACTAAATCCTTGACAGTTACGAGCAATTCATCCTCGCCTCGCCTGTTACCTTGCCTGGTATTGCTCATAATGGAAAAAAATAAATTCAGATTATACTATCAAGCAATGCACCAATCACAATAGCACAACAACTGCTCAGTAGGCAATCACTAGCACAAACCACTTGGAAAGAATCAAAAATATAATAGCACAATTTCTCATTAGAAATTCAATTTTTGCAGCAGCACAACAAACGCGCGTCTACTCCATAGCGTGGTCGACAGACTTTTCTTATATCCAGGCGCAAAAAACGTTACTCTACTTCTAACTGAAAAATAGTATGACCTCATTATAAATTGTTACTGAGTTATAGCCATGTACCTGAAAAGTTAGGGGCGATGTCCAACCCATTCGAAAGATACCCAGCGGTGACAGCTCCATTAAAGAACAGAGACGCCGTGAAGACAGTGACTGACAGGGCAGCGTCGTTGCCTTTGAGAGCTTGCAGAGCCATCAAGGCTCCTGGGACTACAAGGGCGAATGCTGTAAAGACTTTTCTGGTCGCTGTGGTGGATAAGCGGCCTGAACGGCGAAGTCTATCTGCCAACCAGCTGGAAAAGATCGCCATGGCGTATTTACCTGGAAAAAATAAAGATTGCTCTAAGGTGGTTCATCAGGTTTTACAAATTCATTTGGTAATTGTGCTGCCACCATGCGGATTTGGTTTTCAAGATGCATTTTTGCCAAAGTAACGTAAGTGACATTTTTGGTGAAAATCATGTTTTTCCATTAAGGCTTTTATTGTTGAGAAGGTACTGCCAAGGTGTAGGAAGCCTAGATTTTACTTTAAACCTTTGTTTTTAACTTTTTTTGAAAACGTATGTCCAGAATTTTTTAAATAATATCCGTAAAAGAAACGTAACTTTAACACTATTTCCATTATAGTAATGCAAGCTAAGATTTTTTACCGCCATAATAACATAAGTCCCTGTCGGTTTCTGCGACTTAAGTCAGATTTTCGCAGTCAGTATTTGGCTTACGACAGTGTTAAGTTCGGGCTACCATCGACTAATTAATGATTTTAGGTAAGTAAACGGCATTTTTTTATAGTTAGAATTCAAAAATATTACAATCTTAACTCATATTATGTAGGTACATACCTATAAAATTCCATTTCATATTTAATTTCGTTCATTTATTACAAATTATTGTGTGATAACCTCAAGGTCTGTGAGAGATTTGCAGAAATGAATCGGTTGAAGTTAAAAAAACGTTTTTTTATAGTTAGAATTTAAAAATATTAAAACCTTAACTAATATTATGTACCTATCTATAAAACTCCCATTTCATATTTAATTTCGTTTATTTATTAGACGTTATTCTGTCATAACCTCGAAGCCTGTGAGAAATATACAGGAATGAATCGGTTGAAGTTAGAGAAAGACTGTTGTATTTGTTTCTATTCTAATTTTTATAGAAGCTATGAAACATTGTAAACATAAATGCTCGGTTACTTTCAGATTATGTCTATGGTCAGTTCACGAACAAAAAGGATTTTGGCGGCACTTAGCCAAAATGATGAATCGGATAATGTTTATTTTGAGGAAGAAATCGGATCTATGCCGATATCCATTATTTCAATATTTTTGATCTAGATAATTCCGAAAATATTTTAAAAACTACTTTAGTAAATGAAGACGTAATCGAAATAGATCAATCAATTTTATTATCTTCTAACAATTCGAGTCATGAAAATGATGGTAACCATACTATGCAAGAAGAAATAAATGTACCAATAAGTACTGATAGCTCAAATAGGACAGTGGGGGTTCAATTTGAACAGGAATGCGATGTACAAGAATATTTTCTGCCGTTAGTTAATTACATGTCATACCTGCCAGGTTTCACGATGAATTCTTTAAATTAAAATGTAAGTCTTCTCTTCCAGATGACTTAGCAGAAACTGATGCAGAGGATGACAATGAAGATGAAAGCTCCAAAATTAAAAAAAATATATATTTTTTACTAGTAAGAATTTCATATTTTCTTTTGTAACGTTATTTGTGATGAAAGAGATGAAAGCTCCAAAATTAAAAAAAAAACATATATTTTTTACTAGTAAGAATTTCATATTTTCTTTTGTAACGTGTGTTTTTTTTAATAATAAACGATAGTTTTTAATTCTTTCCAAAATACTTTAAACGCTACAATTTGCCGCCAAACTGACGTATCTGTGTACTTACGTTACATTTTTGATCAAGACTTCGAGATTTCTGAACCCGTAAAGTAACGTAAGTATCAATTAACCACTAAAACTATAGAAAAACTTCAAAAATCATTTTTCTTAATTAAATATAGACCTCAGAGAAACACCCTGGTAAATTATGCACAATTTAAAAAAGTTTATCCAGGTTAAATTAAAAACACGTTCTTTCTCCGAAATCGTTTTTGGTGACTTACGTTACTTTGGCAAATACGTATCGATGTGTTAATAAATGGCCTTAACAGTCGAGAGATCGACTTTGAAATGTCTTCTTTTAGTCGTAGTACCGGCACCCAAGTTCATTTTTATCCTCTGCAGTTGCTGGATCGACTCTATAACGAATACCTTGACAACCTCCTAAATTATGAATAATATTTACAGCACACATAAATAATAATGCTTTGAATAATGCTGCGTGAGTGACCGTTTCTCTACCTTAAATTCGATCCGACGACACTTTACGATCGCTTCACGATCCTATTCGAATTCACTATTCTAAAATGAAAATTTTGCCATATACGGATGTCAATATTTAAGAATGCAATTTCTGGGTTCATTTTAAGAAGAATCCTAATCGTTTGAACTTTTGAGTTACAGGGTGGTAAAGTTTTCAATATAGAAAATCAGTGGTCTGCCACTGACACAAGTAAATATATAATAGTAAATAAAATCTATAAGCAGATTTGTAGATGCAAAGAGACGGATTTATTTTTTAAACGAGAACGAGCATCGGATTGAAAAAATTTTAATAGAAATCAGTGGAAAGAAATCAGAATGTCACTGGTAAAAATTAAATAAATATAGTACATTAAAGAATGCCTCTCATGAAAAAGGTACGTTTTGCTTGAACAGTCAAGATCATGCTGTCTAGAAAATTAGCAATCATGTCAAATACACAGACGACCGGCCAAATAAATAATCTCTCTTTTGTTACTACACTGAATGGCAGTGGCGGATTTAGAGGGGGGCGCCCCCCCCCTAGAAGTCTGACACATGCTTTTGTAATCTAATACAATTGTGTTACTTTTTGACACATCATGACGACAGACGCATACTAAGTATAAGTTATATAGCTATAGGAACTGAGCATTGCGATTTTTTTGTATCCTTTGGTATTCCAAATGCTGTCCCACGTTGACATCACTTATTTACAGCACAATTCTTACGATTTAAACGTATATACGAGTATTGTGACTTGTGACAAATCTAAGTCTGGGTAATATATTAGCTATACAGATTGCACTTAAAAAGTTAATCATGTTCTGTTTGTTGCTCAATAGTAATTTGAAAAGTGTGTAAAGCTTGACAGATTTTGTTCGGGGTTGGTGTTGCAGCGAAGCACTATGTTAGATGAACGCCTAAATTGGAAATAGACATTTATGAGATTTCTTTAGCGGTGCGCCTGTGGCCTGTCCAGAAACTGCGTCGATCGATGCTGAAAATCAATACCACACGTCCCGCATCTCTTCTCGCGTATGTGTCTATTTATGTTGCTATATTGAATTCGTTTAAATCACAGAGCTGCTGCACTATACTTGAATATGTACAGCCCTGTATTCCTGTACTTGTTTTGTACAAACGTACATTATCAAAATAATTACGATCTAACAGATATAGTTTGTTCCAAGGATTTCCAACATTTTTACATGCGATCAACACCGGTTCGAAAACTGAGAAAACAACAATTATGCCGTAAATCTAAGCTTGACAATGAAAGTCTGAAAAATAACTGTAACATCTATATTGAATTTCAAAAACCCCAAACCCTACTGAGCGGGGCCGGGGCAAATGCTTGTTCCGGAAGTTGTTGTATCCAGCATACAACTTCTTCCCGTTCAAGTGATTGTACATGCGTTAAAGAATCAGTACCGATTGCCGGGTGGCGGTACAAGTCCGCCAACGGGCCACTTTAGGTCTATTTAATATCATCCCGCTAGCTTTTCCCAGGGTGTCTTATAAATGTCCGCATGTTTCCACACCTAAGCTATGCAGTCGGTTATTTTCCAAAACAAAGAAATTAATGATGATGGATCTCTCGCGTACTAAGAATTATGGACGTAAGCCCACTCCACTCTCGGAATGCCCCGGGTGGCGTGTGGACTCGAGGGACCAACATCGAAGATAAAATTTGTTTCACAAACATCTGCGGGATTAACAGCAACATTGATGATGTTCATCACTACTTGCAATCCAATCGTGCGCCATGCTTTTCTTGGCGGAGACAAAAATCTCAGAGTCCGCACCGATTAACCAACTTAACTTCCCAAATTTCGAGGTGCACTCCAATCTGAGAAAGAACAGGGAGTTGTGGCCTTCGTCCGCACCAGTCTTTCCTACTGCAGAGATGTTTGTCCCTCGGACCATAACTGGGATGACCTTCTTGAATACCTTGCCGTCAAGATCGACTTCCTGAACATCAATCACCCCGCTTCAGAGGTAGATTCTCCTCGGTGATTTCAATGACCATAATTTGCTTTGGTTGGGCTCAAACAAGACCGAAGCAGTAGGTCGTGCAGTTGAAGCGTTCGCTCTTACTCAATGGCTGACACAGCTGGTGACAGGCCCTACTTTTCTCCCCCGCGTCTCGTCACATGCCAGTAGCCTGCTGGATCTCTTACTGACCAAGCATCCTGTCCCTTACAGCACTGCTGTCCTGTCCCCCCTGGGTAACTCAGACCATTGTGTTGTGGTGGTTAGGTTTCGGTCAGAACCAGCTGTGGCAGAAGAAACTCGCACAGGCCGCAAAATTTGGCATTACGGACATGCCGACTGGGAGGGGCTCAAAGACTTCTTTCCTCTTCTTTCGTTGGAGAAGTGACTGATTCACCGACGCGGATGCGTCAGCTGTCTGTTCTTCGATAACCGAAATTATCCACGTCGGAATGGAGGAGTACATCCCTCATACAGTGAAAGTGCCTAAACCAGGGTCCAACGGCTAGTTTAACAAATCGTGTGACACTACTCGCCAGCAGAAGATCAAGGCACACAGAATCTTCTTACAAAACCCCACTGTAGAGAACAGACAAGCCGCCGTCGAGTCCAGAAACAAATACAACTAAGCGGTTCGCAATGCCAAAAACCAGCACGACATAAAAGTTAGGCACAAGGTAATGTCGCAGCGCAATGGCAGTCGGTCTTTCTGGACGCTGGCCAAGCAGATTAAATAGAACTTCTCACAGAGTAGCCTTCCACCACTTACGTGTCAGGATGGAACGATTGTATCGGACTCAAAGGCCAAGGCGGAAGTGCTTGCCAAGATCTTTGCTGCCAACTCCACCATGGTTGTCCTCTCTACCGCTGAGCTGGAAAAAAGAAGACTAGCGACGACTTCCTCTCTGACGAGAGACCTGGAGGTTACCACTGCTTGGGAACGCAAGAATCTTGTACAGTTTAATGCTTCCAAAACACAGTACTGCACCTTGACGATCAAAAAGCGTCCTCACGCTCATCCAGTTTCGATGGATGGCCGAGTTCTGCAAAAGAGCTATTTCGACAGGTCAGAGTCCAGATCACCGAGGACAGGATCTGGCCGGAACTCATGTCGTCAATAGCGGCAGCTGCTGGGAAAAAGTTAGGCTATTTGTTTAGGGCCAGGAAGTACTTTTCTCCGCATGGCCTTCTCACCCTATACAAGGCTCAGTTAAGGCCTAGCCTTGCTAGTATTGGGGTGCTGCCGCCCCGACTACATCATTTATGCTCGATGCAGACCAGAGGAGGGCTGTCTCTATGACTCTTTTCTAACATAGAATAGATAATGATAATAGAAGTGCAATCGCAATTAAATCGTCGTTCCCCATCGCCAAGCATTCACAGAGCCGCCACTGAACGTACTGGTAGTATAATATTCAATTCAAAAAATTTAACGTTTGCGCTAGGCTCACGGTATTCCGAATTGGAATTCCTGATTAGGAAACCGTATACGGAAAACGAATGTATGCGCCCAGCCTTAGAGTTTAGAGCCCTAAGCGGAATATTACATGATTTAGTTTAGTAACAAAAGATAAATGACTGTAAATGACTGCTTGAAATTTAAATTTTGACCAACCTCGAATTCCTTATTTAACCGTCGGTGTATTTGACATGGTTGCCGGTTATCTAGGCAGCCTGACCTTAAATCTTAATCCAGGATGTGATGTGCGCTGTACCAAGTCGTGCGTTTTTGTTATCGTGTTCCGTCAATTGCTTATTGGCATGAGTAAAATCAACCATTGTAGCTATAAGCTTAGCGACCACAAAACATCATATCATCTTATACCTATGACGGCAAGAAAAATGTACGATTAGGGTGACCGTCTATGCCAGCCTTTACACGCATGTTATCCTCACTGTTGGGACTAAATAGCTCTTTGTTATGCAATACGACTGCATCCATTATACATGCGACATGAAAGACAAATTATACTATCATTATAATATCAACTTATAATGGTCTTTTGATTTACGGTCATTAAATCCATCTGTTCTATTAGATAAAAGTGTAGTTAAGCCATCAAAAAGATATTGAGAAACACCCTCATGTTATCAAGGTGCTCAGTATGGACAAAATATTTTCGTTTCATATTAGTTCCCACTAGGCAGACATAAGTGGTCGTAAAAATATTCCAATACTCTACAATTTCCGACATACTTCTCATTGACCTGGGTTGGCAAGCGCCTTTAGCGCAAAACAACACTCGTCGAAGAAGCCTGTGAGTCTGTTTCAGCTGAAAAATCTACCTGCCGGAGAAATAACCATTATTTATGCCAATGCCCCACTGAGATGAATAATGACAACAAAAATTCTGCTAACTTCGTAATATACCAATTTAACAGCTAAACTTTATAATATTCCGAAATCTTTTAAAACCAGTGATAAATAACTAATATCAGATAAAGCTCATGTAGCTACGCTTCTTAATTATTAATTAAAAATTAATTAAAATTAATTAAATTAAATTAAAATTAATTAAAAATTAATTAAAAATTAATTAAAAATTATCAATAATCGGGAATGTGTTAGAATTCGGCATTTAATGCAGAATAGAAACACAGTCAATAGACGTTAGCATCTTACTCTCCTTGAAGCAGAAATCTGTTGCATATTACATTCATCTGTTTGTCAGCTTGACACCAGTCTACTTGTGAACTGAATATGAAATGTTATGATCATCGATTCACGTATGGGTTGGAGTAAATTGCACAAAACGATAGCAGTGGTATAAAGTGTTAGCAGTGAGAAAAATTTCTATACATATCTCGTTTGCAAAGGTCACTATTGATGTCACATTATAAAGCACTCGACCAATAATGACTTACTTTTCAACCTAGGTATGTGATATACTCTTTATTATACAGTTCAAAGAATAGATGATAGAAAAACCATATTTCCAATATATTTGATCTCAATTGTCACTCAGTGGACAGAAATTCTATAGAATTGTCAAAAATACAGTAAGAAATGTACAATTCTTTAAAAGGTCTAATGAAGGCTGAGAATAGTAACAAACTAATATAAAAAAGATTTCTAACAATGATACCGTAATTATTTTCTATCTTATCTAAGCTGTCACTTTTAAAGTGACATCGAATGATTTATTTCCTTACGAAGCTATTAATTTTCTTGCCTAATTCATTGTTGGAATCATGTTTGTTATTATGGAAAAATTATTTGAATTTAAGAATCCAGGTCACGAAACTTTTTGTTTAATGAGAAATATTTGATTATAAAGTTCATCTAAGATATATTTATAATTTTTATATAAATGACGAATATGAGATAATGTCGTATTTCCAGACCATACAAGCAATAAATTATATCACGCGAAAGAGAGGAGTGTCACAATTGTTTTCATTTCCGATATCTGCAATCAACATCTTCCACGAAATTCTTCATATCAGCTCCAGTGATGCATGCCATATGGAATTCTCCCATAAAATCACAATTGCATATAGATACACATGTCGACATCCTGTGATAATTCTACTAGCAACTGTTTTACGCCTTGAAACGTTTGATAAAGGCATGTCTAATTAAATGTATTTACTTTTTCAACAATAGTCTAACATCATTATTACGAAAATTACTAATATGAAAAGTAAAGTAGGAGAAAATAAAGCAAGCACTGAAACATAAGACGCGGTATTTACTGGAACATAAGAGGCAGTATTTTTATTGATTTCATAGCACAACTTTTCCTATTCTCTACATATAGTCATCTAATCATTATACGTTCAATCACTTATAAACATTAATGCAAAAAGTAGTTACCTGGGATAAACAATTACTTCGAAAATTTATACATAAATCGATTTGGAATCTGTATCATAACCTGATGTTCAAAAAAGCTACATTTTTACGTGGCAGCTAAACTAAATTTCTATTCTGAATCTTAAAGCCGTTTTTGCTTATTCAAAAGTTCGCAATTTTTACCATTTTAGGGATTTCATGAACAACAAAAAACCTTTACCGAGTCCTTAAAACCACAATATTGAAGGTTGTTAAGGTACTACAAGATGCAGACCACCAGATTTGTATTGATTTCAGTCTGTTTTATATATATATATATATACAGGGTGTTCGGTAAATAGTACGACACAAAAAGGGGAAGATAGGCGAAACTGTTTTTGAGATAATATTTTTTTTGTCTTTTTCGAAAAATTTCCTTGTTTGATCTAACTTTGGTTACTGATTACGTAGGTAATTTATCGCAGTACTTTGCGGTAGCAGTCTAGTTCATTTTTATTTCAGTGCTGAATACCAAAGTTAAGTAGAATAGTTTTCTAAAATAAAAATTACGAAGAAGAAATTAGTTTGACATGTTTACCTACTTGTATTTATTGAAAGTCATATTTTAAATGAGAGTAATTTGCAAAAAAAGAACAGATATCCTGCTATTACTAGGCACAGCAACAAAAGATAGATTAAAAAAAGAGAGACAAAAAAATAATATCTCAAAAACAGTGAAACTTTTACTAGGGTCATTTTTTGGTATGTTGTAGATATGCTCTTCACCTATTGTCCTTATCTTTCTGTCGTTCCATTTACCGGACACCCTGTATACAAATTGTAATTCATCGGTAAATACCTAAAAAATTTATCTAATTGTCTGCAGATTTGATATATTTGATAAGATCATTCGCTTGCTATCTATACAACTGTCCTTTTTCGCATGTTAGGCTGGTCTATAAACGGTGTTCACCAAAATTTTATTTAATATACAGTACTATATGAGCAGGAAGGAAAATGTTAAGCTCCAATTCGCGACATGTATAAATAGATACAAGACCTACAGCAAATTGCTCTAAGTATCTAAACGGCATTGTAATTTGAACTTGACACGGTTTATTTCGTGCTAAGTTACAAGCACATATGATTTTTGCGTTGTAATGGATAATGGATCGAAAAAATCCCATCCACAAATCACGACTGTCTCCATGTTGACTAGTTCTACTTTGAAACGAGGTTAACGACAGTTCAATAAAAATCCTAAAGCACACGTCATTTCATCATTCTTATGCATTTATGCGATTGACCAGTAAACAAGAGTTGCCATCCATATTCATGAGGTGATGATGCGAATGAATTTTTTGCATGACCCTTGCAACATTCTAGGTGATGATCTATTGATCTCAGAAAATCGTTTATTAAGATGATGGAAGTGGGAAAAATGGATGGTTCTCATGGAACTGCGTTAAAAAAATCGCGTCTGGCAGATTGACTCTGCATTTTTCGCGCAGCACTGTCAATGGTTCTTAAAAACGTAAATTCGGCGCAAGTTAGCCTCTCTTAGAAAAAAGTTAAAGCTACGATTTTGTAATATCTACACAGCGCTGTAAATCTTACATCGTTATATCGAACCTCGATCCACACCGCTACCGCCGCGAACATCTTTAGCTAATTAGTGTTTACTAACATTTATGATTTATTTCTCAAGCGAAATATGTGAGTTAATACCGTTTGCTAACAACGTCTGCGACAGCTATATATACCTTACATTCGATGCATGTATTACAGAATCGCAACCTCGCCAGCGGCAGCGGCCAGCTCCGACAGATTAGTCCCCCTTTTCATTGCGCTCGACACAAATGTTGGACATACTTATCATCTTGTGTTTAAGGGTTCGTTTGTGTACAGGGAAATCTATGTGCGAAAAATGTCTAAAAGAGCAAATAATTACCGGGGTTAGAAACATAAGTATAGATATACCATCCCATACCCCAAATTTTTAATCCCTCAAAAATGTTACAAGAATGGGCAAGAGTGTTTGAAGCGTCATAAAACGAAACTGAGCGTTTTTTTGCGTTTTCTACGCATAATTGCGCCTTCACTGGATCGATTTTCAAACCCTACAAAGCGTATTTGTCCTTGGCATAGTAGTAACCTTATGTAAATATTTCATCAAAATTCTAGAGGTGCTTCCTAGGTTACATAGGGGCCGAGAATCAGCGGAAAGATTGACAGACACACATATAGAGCTACGGATGGTCTTTCCTGATGTAACGCCAGAAAAACATGATATATCATAATTTTTCGTGATTACAATACCTTATCGCCAGTTGGCGTGGGAAGTAAGAATGAGGTCAAATAAATTTACTCGATATTTTTCTTGCATAAATGTGATGTTTTCAAGCTATGCCCACCTATAATATTTGAAGATAAACCTTTATATGTTTCGTTTGCCCAAAATTACTGCTTACTCTAAAAATGGGGTTGGCCTATTTCTAAACTAAGCTAGACTCATTTTTCAGGCTTCTAAAGACGCTTAGATTTTTTGTATAGCTGGAATTTCCTAGAGACCCATTTTTTTACTGGTACATTTCTTTTTGGGCAATGTGCGAAGTTCGAGAAACCTATCATAGGCGATGAACTTACCTAGATAAGGAAGACTGGACAACAACCCATTCTTTTTGATATTAAACTCCAACACATCGTGCATATACGTAGGCAGTTGGTTGACCACAGTGAAGTACCCAAACACTGACATCCCATGGGTGACTATAATTGCCCATACCGGAAGGCTAGTGAAGATGGTCAACCATGGGACACTGCTAGGCTTCTGACTTTTTCCTCCTTCCCCTTCGGAAATTGCCTTTTCTATCTCCATACGCTCCTCTTCTGATATCCTGGGATGCTGGGCAGGAGAATCGAACACCAGGAAAAACCAGAGCACGGACCACGCTAGGCCTATCATGCCTGTAAAGTAGAAGACGCTTGCCCAGCCCAAGGTGCTTATAAGGTACCTAATTTAACAAAACGATTACGGTAAAATTCGGCAACAAAACTAAAAGTGGCGTCAAGTAGGTTAGTTCTGCACTTCCCTTGCAATATTGTCACCAGACAAAAAAGATTATGTTAGTCACAAGTTAACCACTCTGAAGAAAAAGTTAGCTACGAACCTGCATAAGAAAAAACTAAGTTTACCAAACAGCTATACAATTAGTGCACAGTCCCCATCCATTTGATAGCGCTGCGATCTAGAGACTTGCACCCTGCCCTACCGACAGTATCGACCATGATAACGTTGCCTGTTGCTGAACCACGGCAATCAGCCATGAGCCATAGCCAGCTATCAGCGAGAGACATGGTTTTATGCGCATACGAGGTCTGTAAAGTATTGAGACTGGCAACGTAGCCTTCGATCTGGCAACACTGTAGGCGCCGGACTTGGAGCGGAGATAGCGGAACATGTGACCTTCCTTCAGTACAAGTTTGAATTCACCCGAGTCACTTGGTTGTCGGTAGCGATTTTTTTTTGTGAAACAGTTTTTCCTATTCTGTTCTAAAAATGAGTCAGATCAATTTCGAGCAACAGTGTGCTAGCAGGATTTGCTTCAGACTTGGGCACAGTGCATTGCTAAACTTCACCAAGCTTACAGAGATAGTGTTTTGTCAAGAGCCCAAGTTTTTCAGTGGTTTAAGGCATTTTCAGGAGGAGAGAGTCGATTGAAGATGAACTACGAAGCGGAAGGCCTTCATCTTCAAGAACCGATGAAAATATTAACAGAATCCGGGATCTTGTGTGTTCATATTGTCGACTGACAGTCAGAATGATCGGGGAAGAGTTAAATTTCCCTCGCACCACCGTTCATCAAGAACAACAGAGGGTTGCATCACGATAATGCTCCTTAAACGAGTTTTTGACCAGTAAAAACGTTCCTGTGGCTCCTCAGCCTCTTTATTCAACTTGAGTCCTTGAGACTTTTTTCTCTTACCGAGGTTTAAAAATCACCTCAAGGAACTCATTTTGGGACAGTCAACTACATGCAAACGGCTGTAACCGACAAGCTGAAGGCTACTCCAATATCAGAGTTCCAGCACTGCTATGAGGTGCCGAAGAACCTTCTCCAGCGCTGTGTGGCTTAAGAAGGAAGTTATTTTGAGGGTGACAATATAAAATTGTAATTATATTTCAATAAGAATTAAAAAAAACAGTCTCATCACTTAATTTACAGTCCTCGTAGGCATGCGTTCATAGCGTCGCTGTGCGTCGGATATGCCGTTAAAAGTATTTCTTAAAGTTTTAATGGCCAATGCATGAGCAAATCTATGACGTGTGAAATATAAATGTATCTATGCTAATAGGTGCATAGAATTACGGGAGTAGAAGCGTATAAATATACTACCTCACAAAAAAATTATATATACCCTTCCCCACCCTCTATAACCCTCAACACCCAATATTTAACCCCTTTGTTTCAAAATTTCATATAAATCCAAGCAGTACTTTCTAGGTTATTGAGGGGTCAAGAATTAGCGTACAGACCGACAGAAATAGGTGACATGGTTTTTCGGCCAAAAAATATATCTCATTTTGGGAAATTTTCACGATTACAATATTTTTTCGCCAGTGGCGTTGGAAGTAAAATCATTTTCTGGAAGTTGTTGTGGTGATGCGGACACGGAAGTCATATAAGCATTAAGGATATTTTCAAACATATTTATTTATTATTTAAATATCAATGTGTTGCTACAAAAAGTGAATTCTTTTACTCACCAAGCACACTGGTGGGGAAGTATTGTAACCGCGAAAAATTTCGAAAATGAGATATTATATTTCCGTCGGTATATCTGTCTGTCTATCTGACCACTTATAACGTAGTTTTTGAAAATCGATCCAGTGGCGACAGAGAAAGGCCTAAAACGAGAAAAATAAAATCACTCAAAACTGTTTTTTTTAATTTTAGAGGTGAACAGAACTTGGGGTTGGGAGTTTGCAAGGGGTGGGAAGGGCCTGTCTCAATTTTTGGATACTGGTAAATTTATATGCTCCCAACATCGGTAATTCTACGCAACTATTAGACATATTTCACACATCATAGATTTATCTATGCATTAGCCCTGAAAAATTATTTAGGGAGGCGGATCGCGTACCTGTTCTGATATGGAATCGCACGTATTTCTGCCGAGCAACAGCATAGTGTTTTATATGCTCTGGTCGCACTACTACTCCCACGGTGCCACGTCTACCCAGGTTAGGTATCGGAGATAGGCGACGTTTCCAGATGCAGTACCGGCATGGCAGGAACAGAATGGGTTTACTAACTATAACCTGTTTGACTGACGTTTTTCTCATAGTCTAGTTTGTGCTGAACATATTCCTTTATGTACTGATAAGGGCATTGCGTGGGAAGTGCAGAGTCAACCTACTTAACGCTATTTTTTTATGAACAAAATGTGACAAAACTTGTCTTGCAAAATTCAAACATGAACATTAATGTTGGCATTTATGTCATAAGAAGTCAAAAGGTTATACGTTATATAGGCTATCGTAAATATTTACTTATGCGGTATTTGTGATTGCTAAAGCCATTGATTAACACATTCTACCTGAAGATACCCAACCGAATATTACTTGTATGGGCGTCCGAAAAATTATCCGAGATGAAATGAAATACCGCAGCGTCATCTATAAGAATTCCGCAATACTACGTTACTATATATGGGCATATAGCTACAGCGCCATCAGCGAGACACTAATCTCTTCAAAGTAAACTTCTAATTATTGCATAGAGAAGATACATAGCTGTGACAAATTCTCATATACCCTCTCCAGACTCACGCGCGAATCACGGCGTGAAATCGCGGCTCGGATCGCGGTGCGAATCCCGAAATTTCTTCCTACAGTTCCACACTCGCAGATGTTCGCGCCTGCTTCACAGTATAGTTCGCGGTCTTGACGAGTATGGATGGTGAAATTGCTACTGCTGCTGCAGTGCTACTTTGCGCTTTGGCATTTTATAATTACGCATATATAAGTAAAACTAGAGCAATTGAAAATAAGTGGAAAAAACACAACCACTCCCGACACTCGCTATGAGGCAACTGAACCACCAGCGAATGTGGAGCCTAGTCATGTTCGCGCTTTGCGAACCCTTTGTCGCGGGACAAAAAACCGACAACAAACGGGAACAACGCGCGAACGCGACGTGAAGCCGCGAAGAATACGCGAATGGGATCCACACTCATGGATCGCGGGTAGTTCGCGGCTTCGCGCGCGAATCGCGCGTGAGTCTGGAGAGGGCAATAGATGACGCTACGGCGTCTCATTTCATCTTGGATAATTTTTCGGACATGTTAATCAATACCAAAACTCTCTAATAGAGACAAGACGTAGTTCTTCTCTCTATTAGAGAGTTTTAGCAAACAGATACCGCATACATTAACGTTAGCAATAAGTTCTGGTATGCCCTGTCCGGAAGGAAAATAACCATTCTCCGATGTGGTGAGTTTGACATGAGATGTATGGTCTCTTTTAATAATTCTAACGTTATCCTTTATAAAAGATAATTCAGCGAAAAATACAGAGAATTTAAATAGATTATTTTTCAATGTATGTATTTTAAATGCGTTTTTTACACACACGAACAAGGCACGAACAAGGAAGAATAAATTGAATCATTTTTAAAAAAATAGCATCAAGCAGGTTGACTCTGCACTTCCCACGCAACGCTATCGTCAGTTCAAAAAGGATTTTGTTCAGGACAATTTAGACCCTCTGAGAAAAAAAGGTAGTTACGAACATGTATAACAGAAAAATTAAACGAGTAAAGTTAGTTAAACCTGCCCACAGGATTAGCCCATACAGATTCTGTACTTGCCCTACCGATAGTCCATTTGGCAATGACGCATCTCCCCAATACCTGAGGCAACACGTGTCACCGGCACGCTCGCTGGTGATCACAGGCAGCAGAAGCAGTGCTGCGTATCGAAAGCATACTTACGAGTACTTAGTTTTAAGGGCAAATGTACGGGGAAATCTATGATGTGTGAAATATGTCTAAGAGGTGCGTAGAATTGCTGAAGTTGCAATCGTATAAGCATACTTTTTTGGCAGGCGAAAGCTTTTATAGCCACTCTTAGGCAGAAAAATGACAGTATTGCCATGCCGGCATTTCCTGCATTGAGTGTGAGATTCTCCAGAAACTGCATATAAACATACCAACATAAAAAATGGCGTAAAGTTAGTTGACGCTGCTTCTCAATATCTTGTTTTAGACATTTTTTGAGATTACAATACTTCCTCGTCATTAGGCGTGGGAAGTCAAAATGGATGTAAACAATCTGGTTCAGGTATAAAATGAAAAAATGCTTAAAAAGACAGCTTATAAGAAATATCTTTTCTTCTTGACTTGATTGATGTATTCAAGGATTCATGCTAAATCCGGCCTTGTTGTCCAGTGAATATTTTAATAGCACCGTAAAATTAGGTCTCATAAAAGATAAGGAATAAATATGGCAAGCCTGGAAGCGACGTGACAGCAACGTTTTTTAGTATTCATGAAAACCGCAGAAATAACACTGAGAAATTGATGTTTTAATTAACAACAGAAAATCCCAAGGAAGAACTTTAATATTTATTTCTCTATATTTTATAGTAGTTAATTAAAAATAAGGACACAAAAATATTCAATATAAAATTAATTAGATTATTGTTTTTAATTAAGATACATGATTAGAGCAGGAGTTTACAGGAATTTTATAAGTATCTGTTGTGGTTGTGAAATAAAGTTTTCGATTTATTTGTCACTTCTTTCTCAAAAAATAACCGATCACATAACCGAATATGGTCTACATTTCTAAGATTCCTCAAAATATGTCTCCAGGTAGATAGTGGCTACAAAAATATGAAATAGTGGAATCTATAGTTGGCGGGGGCTTACGTTTACATTTTCAATTATTATTTAGTTCTGAGCTATGATTCAGAAGTATCTTACAGAATATGAAAACAAACGCCATCTGTGTCTACTGGGCCAATTTGTGGCTATTTACTTCTTGCGCCTACAAGCAGGGAAGTAATCGCAAGAAATTGTGGAAAACGAGTATTGTGATTTTTTTGATGTTATATGACATGTACATTACGATAAACCTAGTCACTCATTTCCGTCCGTCTGTCGGTCTGTCTGTTTGCTAATCCTTGAACCGCCTATAACTTGAGAAGTGCCGCTCAGGTGTTGATGAAATGTTTACACAATTTTACTGCTATGGCAAGGCCGAAAAAAGTTTTGCAGTTTTTGATAATCGGTCCAGTGGCGGCAGGAAAAAATGCCAAAAAACCTTGCTTTTTTACGTTTTAGAGGATTCTGGTAATTTTTGAAAACAAGTTGAGGGGTTGGGGATTGTAGAGGAGTGAGGGAGAATATATTGCAATTTTTAACCCCGGTAATCATCCGCTCCTATTAGTCATATTTTATACAGATTTCGGGGTACATCCGACGGACAAAAGCACGTAGAAGAGTGACGACGCAGCGCGGTGACGCTTCTTATGTGCGCCGTAAGTGCGATATTATCTATATACATACGAGCATTATGCTTGGAGTGTAATTAAATGAGGTTATATAGTATATATGCAAGTCCGTATCAAGAGCTATTATAATCAGTTACCAAACATTGTTGACAACCATCAATTATACTATAAACCCAAATTTTCATAACTGTCCTACATTATTTTTTTAAGTAATCGATTGCTGCAGTTCTACGAGGGAAATTCCTGTTGAAATCGTTTAATAATATTTGTCCGCCACTGTCTGCAGTTTACGGTTACATCATGGCATAGTGACGATACTGTTATGCAAATTATTGAAGGTAGGATGAAATAGGCAAACACACAATAGTCAATACGAACCCGCAAACCGGCAAGGTGAGAGCCGCTCCCAAACTGCTGGCCATCATGTTCGCTATGAATTTGGACCGTTCCATTGGCGGGACCCATTTTGCCGCCATCGGTGGGATCGCCGGCCAGGTGGCACCCAGGAAGAAGCCCAGCAAGGCGCGAAGAATCTAGAATATAAAAGAAAATATACAGGATTACTGATATTTCGCCTTATCCCTTCCAAGGCATGTAGGGTGCCTAAAATGCAACAAATTTCACTTTACTGGGTGCTTAAAATTCGACTCTCACCATTGGGATATCGTAGACAATAAGAGATACGATATCGGTTGAATGAGGACAAAATTGCGCAATTAGGTAACTAAGCAAATGGCACATATGCCCGTTTTACATCGATAACGAATTTATTCAGATGGATTTGTTCCAGGTCATCCTGCTGCCAAACACACAACAAATTCTTGCTAGGAACATTTTGAGTTTTTACTTATATGTATTGTGTTTTTGATTTTGAGGCGAATCTCATAATCAAAACCATACTGTTGAATTCTGTAGTTCTACCAAAGGTCTATGTATCCTTGAATTGAAAAGTTGTTCAATATAGTAGGAAGGAAAACAGGTTTGTCACTATTGAATTTGCCGAACAACTTGGAAAAAATTAGAGCAAGTTCTAATTGCGTGCAGAAGGCCAGGAAGATATTATTATTCGACTTTAAATTCCTGTTTTACACTTTTGAAATTTGGCCATGAACTCAATTCATGAAGCAATCCGTGGATTTATTCATTTGTTGTCAATGTAAAATGGGTGTTAGATTAGTAAGTTTCGCAATTCCGGGTCTTTCAGGAGATAAACGAAAGAAACCGAATTTTCCCAAAATTATTATTTTTCCTGCATTTATTTGAAATGCAATTTCAAAATGGCCTCCTTGATTGTCATAGTTTTCTACTTCTCCGTGTCAGCGCTCTATTTTGAGGTTATGTCACAAACATCTATTTGCATCAAATTGTGCTTGCTTTTGAGTTAACATATCTTTACAATAGGAGAGCGCTGACGCTGACACGGGACAAGTGTAATCTAGAAATTTTTGATGGAGAGAAAGAAGTATGACAATCAAGGAGGCCATAAACGCGCCCTACAATTGTAGGGACGACTGACGATACGGGCCTACTCCTTTCTCTCCTTCAAAAATTTCTAGATTACACTTGTCCCGTGTCAGCGTCAGCGCTCTCCTATTGTGAAGTTATGTTTTCTTTTTAAATTGTAGGAAATTTCAGGCTGATAAAACATGATATAACTCAAAAGCAAGCACAATTTGATGCAAATAGATGTTTGTGACATAACCTCAAAATAGAGCTCTGACATGGAGAAGTAGAAAACTATGACAATCAAGGAGGCCATAAACGCGCCCTACAATTGTAGGGACAACTGACGATACGGGCCTAAGTCATCAGTCATCAACTTTATTTTTTCTTATAGATGCCAGGTCAAAAAAATAATCTGATTCCAAAAATGTATATGTTACATTGGTTACATAAGTAGGTCTTCGTAATATCATCAGGCAAGCATTGCTTTAGTTCTTCTTATGAAATATTGGTAGTTGAACAGTCCCTATTTCCCATTTTAGTGATGTGATATGGTGCTTATTATTAAACAGATTGCTATTATGAAATTTCAAATATGTATCTGAAAAAGTAATAGGTATTCCTAGAATTGGTCTTAACTCTTCGAATAAAGAAGCACCTAATGCCAAAAGTTCTTCATAATATTTAAAGATATTATTGAAAACATTTTGTAACTAATAGAATCACTGTAGTGTAGATAAAAGCCTCGACGATGTTGCAGCTTCCTAAACATATTTCATATCCGCCATATCTAAGCCGATGCACATGTCTTACATTCAAATACTATTAATTTACTTCAATTGGCTATAACCGACCGCGTGGTTGTGGTTAGATGTCGTCTTGAATACAAGAGGTCTTCTGGCCATTATACCACAATGTGTGGGTTGGCTCTTGTTGGTGACTATTAATCTATGGCTGAACGTCTCTACCGTACTAAAATAACGCTTGCTGTGGTCAATAAATAAATAAAATATAAATGAGTTTAAATGTCCTTTAGACACGCATCTCTCAAACTGCATTAGTCACTCAATAAAATAAACATGTGATTCATTGTCATTTTCAAATCCAACTATGAAAATACTCGTTTTTCTTTCAAATACCTTATGTTTGACAATGTCAGTATATGACATTTGGAACGAATCTTACACTTGGCGGAATCAAAAATAAGAAGCTCCATACTGGACGGCTGCTGAGCCAAGAATGAGCGGCGCAGCGAAGCGCGGCCGGAGGAATCGAGAGTAGAGGACAGCCGCGCGCAGCGCTGTTTCCGAATTTCGCCTTACACCTGCCATTGTGGCTGACGCTCTGATACTACTCACAATTAAATAACAGCTATTCCGAACAATAACAAAGTCTTCGTTTCCAGCTCTCCTTGGAACAAATCTGTGTCTAAAAATTGCTAGAGTGTACAATTTTCTAGAAAAACTTGGCCATATAGCCAGCTTAACAAAAAGGTATCAAACCCAGTATAAAAGTGTTAGTCAGTTGCTTGGAAACATCGAAAATTTTACCCAAATTTAAATCTCGATATTTTTGGAAAGGAAAGAGATTCGGGTTGCAGTATTCGGGAGGTTCTTGAACAACTCTTATCCGCTTATACAGGGTGAGCAAAGGAAGCCAGCTTTTGAGCAAAGTTTGGGGCTATGACAGATTATCAATTTTTGATCTTGGCAATTTTTCTATGCATCTTTTTGGCATAGGCAGCCTGGCATCTTCGTGACATACTTTCCAGAAGATTATTAATAAATACTCGGGATACGTTTTCCCACTCTTCTTGAATTGCCTCGGACAGCTCCTCCATTGTTCGACGATATCATGTTGTTTCGACCGCACTAAAAATTTTAGTTGAGTCCACACATGTTCAATTATGTTCAGGTCTGGAGACTTTGATGGCAGAGGCAATAATCTAACATTATTTTCTGCCAAAAAGTTTATAACTATACGATCTCTGTGCGGCCTGGCGTTGTCATCGATGAAGACAAAATCCTCCTCAAGGTCTTGTGCAAAAGGTGGAACAATATTGTTTAAAATGTCCATATAAACTGCAGCATTGACTGTCCTGTTTGAAATAGAAAGTTCTGTCTTACCATTGTGCATAACCCCAGCCGAAGCAGTAATGCCACCTCCACTAAACGCCTCTTGTAGAGCCATGTTTTCTTCATCATATACCATATCGTTCCCTAGCTTGCCTCCAAAGAAGGACCCTACCTTCAGAGTGGTATAGGTTGAAGCGTGTTTCATCGGAAAACATGCAAGTTTGGCAACTGCTAATGCCAATTTACCCGCTGTTGTATGTACACATTGGCACCTGGCGACTCTATGATTGTTCAAGAGTGGGGTACCCTTGGCGCGGCATCTTGCTCTTGAAGAAATGCCATTTTAAAAAAGTAGCAAGCAAATTCTGTATAATGATACTTTAACAAATTTAAAGTTTTTCTTACAATACGATTGGATGCTATTATTCCACTGTGTCGCCGTTAGTTTTCAATCAAGGTTCTGGATGAAAGTGTCCTCCTTAACCTTACTTCCTGCAATAAATGTATTTTTCTTTGTGGATTACCTCCTCTATCTATGCCTTAAACGGTATATTGAGGACCAATGAATATTATAAATTGAAGCTACATCTAAGCGAACTTATATCTTATATAATCTCATACAATCTCATGCAGTTCTCTAGTTCTTTTTGAAAAAGACGAGGCATTTTTGAAAAAATAAAATTATACTGTCAATATTATTGTTACTTAGCAATTGCATGTTTGAGGTGTAACATTTGTAGTCAGGATGAAACCAGAGAAACGTACTATTTTCATGGAGAGGGTAATCCAGAAAAATACGAGGTCAAGCCGAAATACTGTTATTGTGGAAAGTTAAAAATTCGATAATATGAGATACAGTCAACTTTCGAAAAATTCGGGAAATTTGTTTTTTTAGGATAGTCCAAAGATCAAAAAGATGCATAGAAAAATTTCCAAGATCAAAAATTGAGAAACTTTGCTAAAAAAACATAACTTCCTTTGTTCACCCTGTATAAGTGGATAAATAAAATAGACCAGTCGCATCCTATATATATATATATATATATATAAACAAGCAGTAGTCATTGCCATTGCCAACGACTTGTTGGGCAGAAAATACAATTAATTGTTAATTGGGAAATTGGCAAAATTTTTAGGCTTTAGTTAACTCTTTTGACGGTAATCTCAAGCTTTCGGCAATTCTCTATGGAGCCTTCACCAGGAGTCGTCGTTGAGGTTGCAGCCAAATGGTGTTTCAAAACGAACGCGGGGATGAGAGCACTTGTTCCAATTATAAAACCAATCGGACGGACACATTGGGCTTATTGATAACGACGGATACCATCGTTAGGTGTTAACACTCCAAATCAATACACCCGAAACATATTAAAATTTTTTTTAACGATAAGCAATTTTGGGAAAAAAACCGGAACGTCGTTTCTAACCTTTTACATCCGCTTCACGTGGAGAGCCCCCATCTTCTCCACGTGAAGCGGATGTAGAAGTTTAGAAACGGCGTTCCGGTTTTGTCTCCAAAATTGCTTCTCGTTAAAAAAAAATTAATCAATAATTGCAACCAAATATGTATAGGTCAGACTTCCATATCTCTAAAAGGAAGGATTTCATCACACAAAAGTTGTTCTAGGCTTCATTAAGAGAGATGTTCTCTGGCATCTCATGTCAATACAACAGGGCACTCCATGAACTACACAAGTATCAATGTTCTTGATAAAGAAAAACACCTATCCAAACGTTTATTCCTGGAAATGTCCCACATTTTCATGACTGACCACTGTATGAATAAGAAGACAGATGTTAAGCAACTGAGCGTCATTTAATCATATTTGCTAAATTGCGAAAAGTTGGAGCAATTACACATCTCTCCAAATTTTGACTTTCCACAACCATAAATGGAATCTGGTTCTTTGGTCTATTCTACCCTTTCCCTCCAAAATTTCCATTACATTCAAATTTGAATAATTGTTTTTTCTCATAATAAAATATTATTTTGTTTAATTCAATTGTCCATCTCATCAACAACTGTTCAACTGCCTCTGGTCTGTTGACAAGTTCTTATTTAACATATCTTGATAAATCATACCATCTGAAAAAATTTGGCAACATAGCACACACTTTACAAAAATTTTCGTTCCATCCATCGACACTGACACCACCAACCTTCAGTCATCTGTCAAATGTTTCGTCCAACTTATGATCCTGTGCCACACCATTTTGTGCAGCATCAGGTGGTTCACGATGTAATTTTATCTTTCATTCTAAATATTTTTAATCCGTATGGTTTTGTTTCTGACATACAGCTGTGTGTATTTTATACTAATTTTAACGAATGTACCATGTATCCAGCTTTCAACAAGCTACTAAATGTTTTTCTCAACTTAAATGTTAATAACATTTAGCAACAATCTCACATACTATTGTAAGTTAATTTAAAATCATTTTGCACAATAGTTGCTATTTCTTCTCAATGTTATTGCAGCTCCTGATGAAGATGGCAAAATCCATTGAAAGCTAGAGACTAATAAAGTATTAAGAGTTCTCATTGCTTCAATTTTGTCGAAGTACCCAACTAAAGGCGGAAGCTTTATTTTTCACCTAACTGGTCTAGACGACAATGAACACGTCTCAAGTTATATATTTATATATATTCAAACCGATTTAGGTCGAGCAGCAAGCCTTTAACTAAATGACGTGTTCCATAAGTATTTCGAGCGAGTGAATCAGTTTTTCATAAATTTTACTCAATGCGTGCCCCTTGGTTGCGATAGACCTCTGCATTCCCTACGTCAGTTCCTTTTGTGGTAAAAAGGGCGACCCAATTGGTGTGCCTTATTTACCATGCGCTAGAAACATTGAATGAATGAATCGTGAAATTAGAGGCATTCCGACCACCATAAGGAGCCAGTGCATATGCCGCTTAAACAGGCCCTTATGCACCTCTACATCTTTTAGATCACAAGCTTCGCCCTCTTAGCGAAGTTGAGAATCGCTGTCCAAGCTCCTTGACGTCCTGAGGGTCCAAAGTAATGGACTCCAGTATAGTCCGCCTGTAGTAGTTCAGAGCCTCACAGCGACACAAAACGTGGGCCGAAGTCTCTTCCTCTACCCCGCAGCGCTCACACAAGGGATCCTCAGCCATCACGTGCAGGTGGCGCCTTAACGTGTTATGGCCAGGCAACAGTCCCACCAGCAACCTTAGGTTGGCTCTATCCAGAGATAAGCATCCATCCTTAGCATTGGGCCCTTCTATGAGTTCCTGTGCCTGGCGGAGATATCTGGAGATACTTCTCCATTTCTGAGAGTGATGTCTTGCAATCCACGTCTCCATTTTCCTCCTAACTCTATGCGCAGGCACTCCTAAAGCTGGCTCAGGACCAACGAGCTTGCTGGCTGATCCTGTTTTCGCCAGAATGTCCGCCGTTTCATTGCCCCTTATCCCAGCGTGCCCCGGTACCCACATTAACGATACCGGATGCCTCGCTGCGAGGCATTTCAGAGCCTCCCTGCGCTAGAGACATTAGTCTAGTACAACGATTTCCCCGAAGATTGATAACCATTCGTGTCACGTGAACAATTCTGGAATGATCAATGATTTCAGGTGTTCCATTCCGCCTGTTGAAGAGTCATCTTAAATTCTTCTGCTGTCTTTACTAATGCATGGTAACTTGACCATTCTCAGAATGAGATAGAAAGTAGACATACCACAACTGTATAAAAATTAGTATAGCAAGCAGCCGGAGTGAGGATAGTGAGTAAACTTGCAGCCAACATTCCTCCACCAAATATCCTTCTGGCTCCCACGATTTCGGCCATTCTCCCACCAGGAAGCTCCGTTAGAACGTAACCCCAAAAAAAGCTACCGAGAATATCGTTCTTTTGAGATTCTGACCATTGGAATCTAGTGTCACTGCCTGTTGCCACTGTAGAATTTGTTGTTCCGGATGAAATGTTGCTACCTAAAATTAAAATGTAGATGATTAAAACAGATTTTGAGCAGTTTAGCTCTACATTTAAAAATCACGTGGGGCAAAAGTGGTGGATAATGAGATTGAGGTATTCATTCACCTATAATGCAATTCAACTCCTATATTGAAACTTATTTTACACTCAGTAATCACTCAAGTGTAACGGAAACAATAATACACATACATAAACTAATAAAAGTAAAAACTTCATAACAATTTTCATTTATTTCACATTTCGTAATTACATAATATGTACGGCGAACCTGCATATTTTAAGATATCGCTTCTGTAAATCAAGTCAAAATTATGACGTATACTTTTTATCTGTAACTAAATTTTTATACCCATGACTTTCCATCTATCTCTCTAAATTAGATTAGCTACTGTAATATTATGATGGAGGGTAGTTTTTTTTTAGTTAAACAAATCTTACCTGATGAGTTCCTGAATGGGGATTCTATCATGTCTACGATAGCTATTGTCAGATTTACTCGCAACATGTAGTTGAACATGAAGCCCAATATGACCATTATATTGAGGACTTGGCGACATGATAAAAAATCTGAAATTAGAGGAAACGTTTAGCGTCTATGGCGAATACAGGAGTCTAAAGAGGCCATATAAAATATGTTCAAGAAACTTTGACTCTCCTTCAAAATGATACTTTTTATAAAAAGCAAGCAAAAATTTGTGCACATTGATTAACACCCTACCTGAAAATAACCAACCTTATGTTATATTCCCGCGTCCAAAAAATATCCGAGATAAAATCAGATACCGTAGCGTCATCTATGAGAATATGTCACAGCTGTTTCTGTATTTACCATATATACGTTGAAAATGTTAGCGTCTCATAGATATGGCACTGTAGCCACTTATGTGCTTATACAGGGTGACTTCGAAGTTGAGTCATTTATTTTAACAGTGAGTAGATCTGATCAAAAGAAATGTTTTTTTCCTTTACCATTTTTCTGGTAAAATTAAAGTAACAAAGTTATAGCCCTTTGGAAGTTTGAGTACCGCCCTGTCTCAATAATAATATTATGTGCTCGTGTTTGGCGACAACGGATATAATCCGCCTTATCGGTTCTTCGCATCGGAAACAAAAAGCGAAAGAATTTGGAACGATGTTTTTACAATTATTTTATTCATTTGTATACAGTTAGTGTCAGTCGGTATCGCGTGAGTGAATAGTTGTGTCTGTTGCGTGGCTCAAACGAAATAAAAAATGGCACATGTTTATGCGGATCGGTTTCCCAATCGAGTGCAACTAAGCCCTCGTGCCTTTGTTAATGTAGTACAACGGGCTCGTGAATCAGGTGACGGCATGCCGGTGCTCCAAGACCTCACGATCAAATACAGGTCCGCACTGAAGTACTTGTCGGGAGGATACTTTATAAAACAAGGTAAAATTTTTTTTTATTTTTTTTTTATTTTTACACACATATTTTGGTTTATCTTCCTTCTACAATCATTATCTGAAAATTAATGACTCAACTTCAAAGTCACCCTGTATATTGTATTATATGTTATTCACAAATTCCCCAACAGAGACAAGATCCAATTACAGAGAAACACTGTACAAGTGATGAAAAACAAGTAGACTCACAAACAAAATTAGTATCATTGATTGATGATACTAAAAACCCTATGTGTGCATATCAGAAGTCCAACACAAAGCCCCATCAGTGCAGTAGTTGCACACGCAAATTAATATATTCCTGAACGTTATTATTCTACTCCTAAAATACATAAAGACTCAAACCTAACAAAGGCTTATGTCGCTGAACAGTTTTTAAATATGACAATATTCTTTTTTATATTATGATCACTCGTACCAAAGTCAAAGAGATAGCTAACATCTTTAAAGCATTCCGATATTCTATATGAAGGGGATGCTAGCATAATACTTGTTAAAGCTTTTGGTAGATAAATTATATATATTCTACCAAGGCACAGTAAAATTGCACAAAATTTCACCACAGTTTGTGCAAAAAGTGGCAGCTTAACGGAAATCTTCGGTGTTCAAGACTGATCAGGCCAAAGTGATCGAAAAGATCATTATTTCGATAGTTGAATGGAGGATATGCTTCATATGCACTTAAGTACAGATTTTTTGGGGCACGTAAATATGGTATTAGGCTAGCTATCTTTAGTCAGAATACGTTAATCAATGGTCGAGTTCTTCAAAAATATATCTTCTGTGCCTCTTAAATTTTAATATGTGGTTAATTCATAAAGGCTAGTCCGACCCTGTCGAGCTGGCCATGCCAATCGTTTAGCAGGAGGATTCTGGAGCGAACTGGGCAGCTGCAATAGAAGCGTTAGCGACACAAATTTTGTTTTGTCCAGGGCCTCCAATGGTTTGAATTTTCTATGCAACAAGATCTTAGAAGACTCGATTAATTGGTTCTTATCGCTATTCAAACAGATATTTTTGGAAGGGTCCGATAGGTTCTGTTAATGTAATTCATCAGATTCGCCACGTTTGCTTAGGCCGTCCCAGTGCTTAAGTGCATTAACCCAAAAATACCGGTTCACCTTGTATATTATATAACAAAAAATATACAGCGACTGTTTCGCATGCTGAACGTAAGATTCCGTAGTCTTTTTATACTGGGGTAAGATTATTTTTAGAATCAATCGCATCTCAAACCTGTTACAGTATTTCCAAGAAGAGATCATAAACGCATCATGTTTCTTCGAACAGAGTCGGCACTAGAGATCATATAGAATATAGACCATTCCCTACTCAAACTCAGAATTTTAGAATTTAACCTTTCGCAATACCTGTACAATGCTTAAATGCCTACATTTACTTCTACAGAAGATATATGCAGTGACAAAGAAAATAGAACACCCACGAAAGCTATATTACTATTTTGTTCAATAGCGAGTACTAAAGGCCCAGAATCGGCGGCATCTAGCGGCCTTAGTGGTGATCAGGTTGACAATGCGAACTAGGATGCCGTTCCAACAGTCAGCTTGCTGGTTTCACTTTCGCAGCAGTCGATTCTGGTAATAGATGGCACTTTGTGCAGCCTTATTTAGATAAACCTTATACTCTAAATTGAGTAGAGTTACTAAACTTTCGTCCGTTATCCCCCGACACCAAGCCTACACTATCCTACGTAGTCGCCAATTAGCACGAAACAGCTGCCCACGGTTGGCCGTCTATGGTCGATCGAACCAAAGCTATATTACTAAGGTGATTTATGACTTTTTGAGTAATATCATCTCAGGCTGGTTGAACTTGGTTCCGAAAAATTGTTAGCGTTTTTGGAGGATCAGAAACATTTTTCCATCATACTTCACACATCTTTAATGGGCGAAAGGTTCGAGATCTACGTAGTCAAGGAACAAAAGTGTTTTCAGTATATTTGAGGTAGTACATGGTAGTTCTACTAAAATGGGGCGGGCAATGTCTTGTTAGAAAACGGAGTTTTTATGCGATTGGAAGAATGGCAAAAGATTGTTTCCTAATATTTCCTGGATATACCACTGCACCTCCATACGTCCTCTAATAGAAACTCAAACCATATTTGTTTGCGGTTTCCCATTACATAAAAAATACGTTTACAGATGACGATAGCATTATATAAATTATTAAACTAAACAAGAACAAAGATTCATGTGGTACACAACCTACTTATATTTAAAAATTATTTGATGGCGCCCTAAACCATAACTGCTACAGTCTAGTGCACGTGACGTTCAACTTAAAAATTTGTCTTATTCTGTGACGTTTTATGACTCGTACTCGTCCGTGGTACATTCTTCAGCAGAACCGAGATCATCAAACAAACAGTGTTATACCATTCAGCAGACAATTTGCTAAACAGATAAACCGGGATTTTAATATAGGGGATTGCATGGAGAGAAAGGAGGTGTACTGCCCAACGCTGATGCTATTTTATATTCTTAAGATACCTGGAAATTCTTTCTGTTCTCGAGATTCTTGAAATAGGTATAGCATACAGCTGTTTTGGACCTTTTGTATGCGAAAAGCCTCATGTTGAGTTAGACAAGGACCAATAACATAATCAGCATATCCCAGCTTGTATAGGATTAGGCTGTTAGTGAGGTTTATTTTGGAATCTTTAGGAAGAATATTTTAAAACTGTAAATAGATTTCAGATTTGCGTACGCGTTTTAAACAGCCCAGGAAACATGTCTTGAAATGTAAGATGTTCATCAAACGTTAAGCAAAGGTGACGCACGATTAAAGTATCACATTGCTACTTAGAAAATGGCTATAAACTACCAATACCGTAGATGTTTTCACTTCAAAATTCAATCAAGACTTCCTCTTACAGAGTCTAACTGTATGACAAAATTCTTTCAGATAATAAAATTTTACCGGTAATTCTATTTTCTTTGTTACTGGGTATATTTTCAAAGTTTCTAAATTGCTGGTTTTATACACAAGAGTGGAATAGCGGTAATGTTTCGGTTACACAAATTGGGTTTCGAAAATTTTCTGGATCTTCACGTTGAACGAAATACATTAAGATTAATCTCATTTTCGTCTAACTCCTAAAACACCGTAAAGAGAAACTATTAAATTTGGATGAGATATTTTACTTCAATATGACCAAGTTAGCCAGCCCTGTGTCGTAATGAAATGCTGCGTTTTCTCACCTGTCCATTTTTTTGATGTCGCAGATGCCATTTATCAACAGCTGTAATGCAATTTTGCCTTAGTAGTCGTCTTTCTGAAACAATGAGATCAAAATTCGTACAAGGGAAACAACGACAAAGTACAAGGTTGGAATATTACCTTTATGGTAATTAGAAAACCTAAAATATAGTAGGTGTCCATTTCCACCTTTTAGACTGCGTCCATTTGCCTCTGCGTGCTTGTCTCGTTTTTGACGTTTTAAAATGGAAGAAGCGTATTCCCGAAAAGTTGATATTAATGAGTAAATCTCCTTGCCACACCGGAACAGTGGAAGGAGTGTCTTATGTCATTTTTTGACGGTTTTTCAAGATAATAATAATAATAATAATAAATGGCCTTTATTCGTCACACGATTACAAAATAATTGGTTTAAATAATTGGTTTAAAAGGAACAGTGACGAAAAGGTGGAGTGTCAGCTTATGCTGTTTTTCAACCCGACCTGGAAAACATTGACACAAACTATAGAGAGAGAGAAAAAAAAACTTAGAATATAACACTTATCAGAGAAAGGAAACAATCAATTACCTGTGGATATGCATAAAGTAAAATTTTAGCCATCCGACTGCTTTAAACTCATCTTTAACCTTTTTTTAAAATTGCTTAGGCTATATTCTTTATACTCACTTGATAAGCAGTTATATAGTTTGGGTGCCCAGTACGAGAAACTGCGTGTGAACAATGCTGTCGAATGCCGCGGGATAAGTAAGATGAGTTTATTCCTAGAGGATCTTTGATCGTACTGGCAGAGGAGGCTTAGTTTTGTATAAAGATAATATGGCGCTTTAAGGATAAGGGTCTTATGTACCAGAGAACCAGAGATAGGCAATGCAGTTTCCTCAATTTGTTCATCTTAAACCATCCCGATTGGTCAAAAGCGCTACTAATATGATCAAATTTACGGATTCCATAAGAAAATCTGATGCATGAGTTTTGTATCATCTGAATCCGCTCGGCATCACGTTGTAAAAGAGCAGGTCCATAAACAGAGTCACCGTAAGATAATTTTGACAGGATAAGGGACTCGCAGAGTTTAAGCTTGAGCTGTGTCGACAGGACACTTCGACTCGGGTATAACTGACGAAGCACATTATAGGACGCATTGCATAGTTGTTTAACATGTTTAGTGAAGCGTAGCTTGCAGTCAAACCAGATACCAAGGTTTTTGCATTCGTTTACGAAGGATATGTCTTCATTATTCACCATAATATTAATGCGATATTGATTTATTTCACGATTCTTTTTGGGCCCAAATAAAATGCAGCATGATTTGCCAGGATTTAGTTTTAGATTGTGAGCACTAGATATGTCAAAAATAGACTGCAGGTCTTGATTTATTTGATGTTGGCCAAGCATATATTCATCAGGATCGAAGCAGTTATAAAGTTGGGTATCATCGGCGTAATGATGAACAATTGAGTTGCTGGCGGTTACATGAAAATCACATATATAAAGAGCAAATAAAAGGGGACTCAAAATGGATCCTTGAGGGACACCAAAATTTCTGAATAAAGAAGTTGATATATTGTTTTCATATATGACAGACTGTGAGCGATCAGTTGAAAAGCTCTTCATCAGCGTGCAAGCCGATGATGACAGGCCAAAGTATCTAAGCTTTTTACAGAGAATATTTGGGTCAACCGTATCGAAGGCCTTGCTAAAATCAAGAAGAACTAAGCAGGACAGCTTTCCTTGATCAGCCGCGCTATAAATATTATCCGATATAGACAGGAGCGCAGTGGTGGTGCTATGTAATGGTCTGAAGCCAGATTGGGAGGTGGTCAGTAAATTATTTTGACAAACAAATGTGTGCAGCTGCTCATGTAGAGCCATTTCCAAAAGCTTAGATAAACTTGGTAAAATGCTTATAGGACGAAGATCAGAAAAACTTGAAGGATAATTAGATTTAGGCAGAGGGAGAACAAGAGCATTCTTCCAGGAAGAGGGATAAAGATTATTTGTTATACAAAAGTTAATAATGAAGGTAATATACTTGAGCAAATGCTTATGTATTATACGGATCATATCAATTGTGATGCCATCTGAGCCTTTAGCATGACTTTTGATGCGATTGATAAATTTCTCTACAGTGGCAGGGGAAACTGTCGTGAACAGAAAAGTACCACTATTCTTGACGTTTTCATATTTGTCTAAAAGGTTCAATTGAGATGTTTCCGCTTATTATACATATAAAATATCGAATGGTCCTTGGGCAGTGCGAAATAATGCCCATAATGACACGTTTTCCCGCAGTCGGGAATAACACAAAAAACGGTGTCGCAAGTAGTTCAGCAAAATTTTACAAAAAAAACTTCTTCCAAAAAATTCTTCTGTAGAGACCTAAATATTGTTGAATTGATCCTGGATTCAAAATACAGTTATGTATCGTTGATATATTTTGAATAAACCGTCATCAGAAAATAGATATTTTTTAAGGTCTAATGATTTTATAACACGTGGCGTACCAACTTAACAGTACGTTTTATTTAGGCTATCTTCAGTTGGATACATTAATCGATGGTCTCATCCAATCTTATAATCCGGGACTAGATGATGTAACAAAATTGCGGTATTTTTTCATTCACACTTTCAAGTCCATAAATATATATTTACTATCGTATATCGTATTTTTTTAAAAGATTCAGATTTTATTGCACGAAAATAACAATAACTTGATAAAATATTACAGGAAATGGATACTTTTGCAACAACGACCTCGCATAAATCACACATTAACGTTCATTTTATGCGAATCATCCTTCTTACATTCTTATTAATCCTAATTAGTAGTCACGAACATTTTTTTTACTTGGAGGTTGATGGTTTGACACAAGCTGTTTTAACACAGAGTGGTCCATGTTAAGATAATTTCTACACAATCAAAGAGAGCAGTCCCAACAAATCGTGGGACTTTAATATGTCCGAAGAACTAGAACCAAAAAATCTTCTCCTGGTTCCTTCGCCTCTTTCGGAATTAAGTATAAAAAATTTCGAAAATGAGGGATGTTATCTACTTCACGAAAATCATGTCACTCATTACCGTCGGTCTGTGTGTCTGTCTGCCGATCTCTGTGTGTGTGTGTCTGTGCCCCAGCAGCACATCATCATCAAGGTCATCGTCGGCGCACGTCGATATAGTGATACCCGATATTACGCGCCATGTATAGCCGATTATTTCAAAAGGATTTTAAATTAACAATCCAATTATAGCCATTCTATAACATCACCAGCTGTAAGGGTGTACATAGTGTACATAGTACAATAGTAAAAATACCAGAATGAACCAAAGTTGACTCATATATTTAAAGTCAATTTGTCCAGAATTGCATGGGAAGAGCAGAGTCGATGTTCTTGAGGACATTTTCTACACAGCCATTTATTGTAACTTGATTTTAACACTAAATCTGAATTTGACCCAAAAATCCAGAAAATCCCGGGCCTCCCGGTTCATTTGACAGCTAGTCCTGAAATTCTCGCGTCTGTGAAAGTGCTGATTCTTCGTTCCTTACATCCTTTCATATTCCAAAAAGTATCACTTTTTTTTGCTACTGTACTTATTGATGATCTCCATAATAAAAGGGAGAATATCGATTAGGTACCAGAAGTTTGCATTAGCATTGTTTCTGAATCCTGAAGTATGTATATGTATGATGTAAGGTACGGTGTTCAATGGAACTGTGTAGTATGACGGAATTCAATAACACTGGACAACAAATTTTAGTTTTTTAATTGTATCTTGTGGGAAAAGTGCACTTCTTTGTTAACTTTGGGGCGCTGAATCCAAAAATGACAATGAAATAAAAAAATTAGTTGCGGTTTAGAAAAAAAACTTTTTATTTTTAAGGATATATTAAAAAAAGTAACAAGATTCATATACTTATAAGAATCACTATATGCGCTGTCTTTTTGCTGTTCTTTTATGGATCGTTTCTGGAGCATCTCTACCAAGAGTCCAACAGTAGTCTGCAAGCATGGAAGGATTCCACTTTGCCTGGTACCTTTTTTCCATTGTTGAAATATCCTGATGAAAACGTTCGCCGTGCTCATCACTTACGGCTCCGCAATTGTCAGGAAAAAAGTCCAGGTGTGAGTGTAGGAAATGTATCTTAAGAGACATATTACAGCCCATCTTTTGATACGATGACAGCATATTTTTGACAAGGGTTTTATAGTTGTCAGCTTTTCTATTTCCCAAGAAATTAGTGACCACCAGACGGAAATCATCCCAAGCAGTTTTTTCAATTCCTGTTAAAGTGTCTTCAAACTGTGTATCTCTCAAAATATTTCGAATCTGTGGCCCAACAAAAATACCTTCTTTAACCTTTGCTTCACTTAGTCTTGGAAATTTCTGACGCAGGTATTGAAAAGCTGACCCATCTGTATCTAATGCAGTGGTGGTAATAAAATTTTTTTCGAATCTACTAATGGCATATGCTGTACATTTTTTTGACCTGGCTCTAGGAATTGACGAACAGGCCAGTTTTGTCTGGTGTAATGAAGTGCCTTTGCCCGACTGTCCCATTCACACAAAAAACAGCAAACTGTGTAGCCTAGCTGCAGCCCAAGTAACAGTGCAACAACTTTCAAATCGCCACAAATATGCCATTGGTGCTCATCGTATTTTATGTATTTCAATAGGTACTTCATATTGTCATATGATTCTTTCATGTGAACTGCATACCCTACAGGAAGAGATGGTAAAATATTTCCAATATGCAATAACACTGCCTTTAAACTCAATGTTGAACTGTCTATAAACAATCTCCATTCTTCTGGGTTATAGTTTATATTTAAAGCCGCCAGTAAGCCGTTAATGTTACTGCAGAAAACCAAGTTATTCTCCATATTGAAAAATGGTTCTAAGTCTTTGTGGCGTTTACGAAAAACACATACCGAAACATCGTCTTCTAACAAGTTCCACTGCTGCAGTCTTGATCCAAGTAACTCTGCCTTACATTTTGGAAGTTCTAAATCTCTTACAAGATCATTTAATTCTGACTGTGTTATTTTGTGCGGTTGGTGGCATGACGTGCTTG